GAAGGAAGGAAACAAAAGATAAGAGCAGAAATAATAGAGAAAATCATGAAAGAATGGTAGCTAATCACTGTCAGTTTTTCTACTTATGGAATTTGTGCTTCCTGTTCATGCAAACATTAGCACTGTCAGAACACCTTTATCTTGAAGAGAATACACCAGAGTATATTTTCACTGAACTTGAAGATGTTACTACCACCTGGTTCTTTGAGGTCCTTATATCACTGGAACAACCAACAGTTCAATATTGGTAGGAGTAATCGTCACTGGTTACCTTGAGAGTAGGGGTTATTGTTACGCAATGGAGTAAGCAAGGAACATAGCCAGGAACCTGGGGATTCTTTGAAGCATCTCTTGGTGCTTCCATGCCTATTGACAATGGTGAACACCCAACTACAGGAAACATGACCTGACAAGGTCAAAGAAGATCTCTCAGGTGAAGCCTGGGCTGCCCTCTGAGGGAAGAAATCTAGGTCAGCCAAAGGGTTACCTGAAGATGAGGAGGATCAAGACTGGGTGCTGGAGGAGAAGGCTGATGAATATCAAATATGGCCTCAAGGCCCGAAGTGTTTGGAGCTTGTTTCACTAACCATTTTGTAGTAAGTCTTTGTGGAGTTTTGGCTGGCTACCATCGTGAAGGGACTTTGACATATATGTGACTTAGAAGTAAATGAGAACATGAGCATATTTGAGTGGTGGAAGGGGTCAACTGTTAATGGACATCACTCGTGCTATTCTATATTCTCTCAGCACCATCTCTCTCTCTAGCCACACTTGCAGAGACCAGTTCCAACAAAGTGTTGATCTGTTTTGCATAGAGCCTTGCTTCAGGCCCATACTGCATTCCCCTGTCTCCTGCCCTGGGTTTCTCTGATGTGATGGCATGGCACTGCCACAGGAACTCCCTGGGCACTCAGGCATGTATAACCTGAGAGGGGGGCGATCATGTTTGTGGGCCCAGCTTTGAACAATGGGGACAGGCGTTCCTTCAGAAGGTCCTATGATGTTATGGATCCCCCAAAGTGGTGGTCAATTTAATAAAAACACATTGTTTTATTGACTTTTCATCCTTCTCTGTTTTACTTCATCTGCCCTTTAGCCCTGCTCCCTGGGATCACCTTCCAAATGAATTGCCTTCACTCAAGTCTTTGTCTCAGCCTCTGCTTAGAGAAAACTTGGTCTAGGACAGGGGTGGGCAACCCCTGGCACGCGTGCCAAACATGGCACGCCAGTAACTTTTGCTGGCACGCGAAACCCTCTCTTATAATCTTCCATTTACAATTTTTTTCTTAATATCGATTTTTTTATTTTTCAGATAAATTCAGTGTAGGTGCATCTTAGATAAATAAATAATTTTACATAACAAGTTATCTTAAAGACCATAGACATGGATTGATGAGAGAGGGGAAGAGCAATTTCTATGCCTCTGCCTTAACTCTCCCTGCCTTCCTAGATCCGACCAGTGTTTTGGTTTCATCCACATACTCTTGTGAATCTTTGTTCTCAGTGATGAATTTTGTTAAGTCTCGTAGTAGGAGTAGCCTGACGGATGAAAGTAGTAGCTCGTGCATATCTCTGAAGGTCATGAAATATAAACCTGATGTAAAATCTCTGTCATCAGTGATGCAGCAGCAAAAGTCCCACTGATAATATCAAACGGAGTCATAAAGTTTTCTGTCGGACTATCAGTGTACATGTATACATTAAAAAAATAAATGTATTTTTTATCATCATATACTGTGTTTTTGTCGCTCAAATGAATTTTATTATTTCTTCAAGGTTCTTCATATACGTACACCTTAAGAGATATCAAGTAGGCGTAACATGTTCTCAAAAAATTAGGGTTGGCACGCAGAAGAATTTTGAGTCAGAGATTTTGCTGATTTTGGCACGCACTCACAAAAAGGCTGCCCACCCCTGGTCTAGGATATGGATCTTCCTAACAGAGAATGCTTTTCCTCTGCCCACCCAGAGCTACATGCATCCTTCATTTTCTTTATAAACCATGCTATGCAACTAGAAGTGAGTGCGCTTGGATGGGGCAACACCACTTGGGAGAATTCAGGCTGGCAGGTTTCCAGAAGACCTTCTATCTTGTTGGCTTCATTGCTAATAGCCCCATTTTTGCCCCTAGTTCTTTTACTTTTAGGACTTTGAAACAACACACCCAGTTTCTTTAAACAAACAAGGAAAGCAAAAATCTAGCTCATCTTTCCTCATTAACCCTGCTGGTAAATTTCCAGGGTTTAGTAAATAACCCGTGTGTGGAAGTGTTCCCCCTTACCCTTCAGTTGTTGTCATTTATTTTCTTTGCTATTTACAGAGTCGTGAAACCTTGTTTTCTTTGCTTTAAATGCAAAAGACTGTTTTCTTTGGCACAGTCCCAGAGTACAGCAACGGTTAAATTTGCTGCTGTGTGAAAGAGCCGGATTTGTTTAGAAGTTACGCAAAAGGCCGTGAGAGCAGGCGGCCTGGACGATAGGAAGTAACCCCAGGAAGCTCGGGGTATTTTATTTCCTGTCCTTTGTGCCAGCATGCTGGTTTTTCCTGGGCCAATAGTAATTTGAAGTAAGGTCAAGATCTATTCTAGTTGGAATCTCATAGGATATCAGGCACATTGCTTTCTTACAAGCAATTTCTTACCCTTCCAAAATCAGAAGAAACATTGAGGAGAAAACGACATATGTAGCTCAGGGTTCTACGTGACAAATGGCTCTTGACAAGCTTCTCAGGCCAATCTTGGGAGAGTAGTCTCCCTAACAAAGAAAATGAATTGACTGCATACATACACATCCATCATACTTGAAGACTGTGTAAAAAGAATAATAATAATTCAATAAAAAATAAACGTCAAAGGAATACAGCAACTGCTCCCAACTGATTCCTAAAGAGAAAAGAAATTAGGAAGCTGGAAATCAGGAGGCTCAAGAGTGAATGTGAGGACTGATATAGAGACATTGTAAACAAAAGGTTACCTCTCAACATTCAATGATGAGTGACAGCTGTGCTTTTGAAATGCCAAAGGTTAAGAAATACAGGGTTCTCAAACTGGAAAGGTCAAAGGATCATGTACATTGACCTTGGGTTGGAGGTTGGGGTTCAGAAAAGGGCGAGGGGTAGAATTTGCCCCAATTTGAGCTATCTTCACTATCAAGATTGGGAACTTTCCTGAGTATTATAAATAACATGTGAGAATATGTCTAAACATGGAATTGCACTTTTGAGTTCCCTCATCTATTTGAATCTTAGGAGAATTAAGGAAAACAACTGGAAAGTCAAAGGCATTTACCATAGAATTGAAAATAGTGGTCTTCACGTGAAGAGTTCTCATTGAACTTTACTTCCAGAAGCACTGTTATTCTGATGCTATCAGCATGGGTTCCTGCCTTCTAGGTTTTTTTCTTTATGGAACATTTCTCTTTATTTACTTCCAGGACAGTACCTGGATTCTGCCACATCATTAGTCCATCCCAATGGTCCTGTTCCATATATTATCTTCACAATAGTTTATTTCACTTTCTGCTTGAGGATATGTAATCACGTATTTCACTTTCACTCAGATTGGTGATCTATTGTTTCTCAGTATTAAATATTTCTTTTGATAATTTGTAACATTTTTATTTACCTTATTCTAACTTATGAAAAAGGATCATCATTAATGACTTCCATCTTAAGATATTTAAGTTGTAAGTAAATTTACTAGAAAGTGACCTTAGAAAAGACTGGTTTATCTGATGAAGACCAGAGTTTAGAAGGCAAAAAAAATTAAACTTCTTAGGTTTAATTTTTATAAGATTATAGGGGATGAAAAGTGATGGCTGAGTTACCATTGGTGTCAGCAAGGATACCGTTAGGAAATATATGTTGCAATTTTAGAGGCCTGATACTACAACAGTCTTTCTTATTTCACCACATGATAACCCTCTGGCAATTAAAAGTTAAAGATAAAATCATTATTTTTAAAAGTAAAGTTGGTTCATTAAGTTAAACAGCTATTTGATGCAATAACAAACTTAGTTGAACTATTTCCCAATATATTAAAAAACTAAAGGCCCAGTTCACAAAATTCATGCATGAGGGGTGGGGGGAATTGTCCCTCAACCTGGCCTGTGCCCTCTCCAATCTGGAACCCCTCAGGGTATTTCTGACTCCCGGTTTAAACCCAATCTCACAGGGATCAGGCATAAACCGGCAGTCGGACATCCCTCTCACAATCTGGGACTACCAGCTCCTAACTGCTTCTGCCTGCCTGCCTGCCTGATTGCCCCTAACCGCTTCTGCCTGCCAGCCTGATCGCCCCCTAACTGCTCCCCTGCAGGCCTGATCGCCCCCTAACTGCTCCCCTGCAGGCCTGATTGACACCTAACTGCTCCCCTGCCAGCCTGATCACCCACAACTGCCCTCCCTTGCCGGCCAGATTGCCCCCAACTGCCCTCCCCTGCCGCAACCCGCCTCCTCCACCAGGACCTGCCTCCTCTGCAAGAGGCGCGGAGACGCCGGGACTGGCCTCCGCTGCACCACGCAGAGCCACAGGACCTCCAGGCCTCACCGTGTGGAGTGGCCACTGGGCCCCGCCTCCCCTGCGTGCGCAGCCATCTGTGGCGGCCATCTTGTGACGATGTTGCACAACAGCGTGACACCACCTAGGCTTTTATTATATGGGATACCTGCCTGTTTAATTAAATTTTCCATTTTATAGCTAGAAGTATAGACATCAAATACAGAGGCAAAACCAGGAGAATCAACTGATGAGCACTTTTTTGACAATTATAAAGGTTTCCTTCATTCCACTTTAGTTCACTAAAAGAATGTCAATATTTTCTGTGTCTCAACTTGTTTCCTTCTGCTTTAACTTACTTTCTAGGATTGCAGAGAATATTTCTTTAGTCTTTTATGTATTCTTCTCATTCTTCTCCCCCTCTATTCTTTCATTTTATTGTTTTTTTCTCTGCTTTACATTTTCAATGTTTAGAAAAACAAAAAGGAAAAGCCACAACGCTTACCATTTCCACCAAGGACAAGTATAAGAACATGCCAGCAGTAACTGTCAGGATCCAATTTTGAACACAAGGATCAGTTGATACTGAGAGGCCAACGTACAGTCCTATGAAGGCAGTTAGAGCACTTATGAAATTCATCAGGATGGCAATTTTAATAGGAAGCCCAGAGCTTAGGAGCACAGCAAAGTCTCCTAAATTTTAAGGAAAAAAAAAAAGAGAAAATGTAATGATCGATTCACAGATGATGGCTTTGTCAGAGTAATGTGCTATTAGGTTGTTTCAAATGTCAGCAACTGGGATCAATTTTATAAGTTAAGTTGAATGATCAGTTAAGAAGCCATTTTCCTATATTTCTCTAGGAATCATAGCTAACACATTACACAATTAGGAAGTTACATTTCAAGAGTTTTATTCCTTTTACTGCTCCCGAAGATAGTGTAGCGGGAACTGTGACATACTCTTTAGTTTCTAATGCCCCGCTGGCCTGTGGCACTTTCAGCTTAGATAAATGCAAAATAAAGCAAAAGGAAGGAACTCTTGCCTTTCGTGACAGCATGGATGGACCTGGAGATTATAACGCTAAGCAAAATAAGCCAGTCAGAGAGAGAGAGAAACACCATATGATCTCACTTACATGTGGAATCTAATGAACAAAATAAACTGACAAACAAAATAGAAACAGAGGCATGGAAATAAGGAACAGAATGACAGCTGTCAAAGGGGAAGTGGGTGGATCAGAGAGGATATAAAAGGTGAAGACAATGGCCAAAGAACATATATATATATAAATTTAAAAAATAAAAATAAATAAAGCTCTTGCTGGCCCAGGGTTTCTAAATCTTTTTGCTTGGAAACTTGCCAAGCAAAATTACAAGGTAGTACACATGGTGTGGGCTTTCATCATTTACTTATGTCAGAACTGCTTTCGGAAAAGAGAAAACCACTTAATATGAGATTTTAAAATCATTGCCAAAGTTGATCAGGAAAACAAATTTTTTTATTTGGAAAATGTTTCAAAGCCTTGATGATTTGAAAAACATCGCATTCTCTCTTTTCCTCCAAAAGAAGAATGGCCTGTTAATCTGAGAGCCTCTATTTCTTCGCTTTTAGTTTTCAGGATTGAGACGAAGCTAAAACTCAGTAAAGACAGCCAAGGGACTGAGTTTCCTAGTTCCATTGTATAATTGGTCCAATGTATAATTGGTCTTAAAACATCTTTGCTGGCCTGTCACCCATTGCCACTCTCCCCTGTGGTTTTATTGTAGTAGGTTTAAGCAGGACCATAGAATAGGTCCACCCAGACCAGGCACATTTCAATGGATTCAGGAAGAGCATAAACTGCTTCAAGAAGCTTGGGTCAGTAGTGAGTTGACAATAGGTCTTCAAACAATAGCCACTAAGCACAGAGAACAGGGTTGGCCCAAGGGGACAATGTAGGTCTGAAAAGGGGAGCAGAAAGAATGACAGCCGGAGTCCTCTTTCTAAGGTACATATGTGCCTGGAGCCAGCCTCCCCCATTTCTGGGTCTGTCTCATTAATGTATATTCTAGCTCATCTTGGTTCTTGGGAGGCAGGATTTGAATTTCAGGGCTATTAAGATTATCCAGAAAAAGAGTCTTATGCACATCTGTTACCATACGCCTGTCATATCAATTTTACAGTTGGCTTTAGATGTCTTGTATAAATCCGGTTGATGAAACCATGGTTTGGCTTTCATTTAAATATTTTGTCTCATTGGCCTGTTTGCCGACATCATGGGTAAAGTTCCCCAGTTGATGTTTTCCCACAGTTACTATGCAGATTTTAAAGTTCTTTAAAGGGAAGTTTCTCTGAATGACTTTCTCTCACATAGAATTCTCCAGAATCCAGAGTCACTTCTGGCCCTGGGAAACATAAAGTCCAATTAAATTTTATCCCAAGGTACAGGATTTTTTTTCTAGCTCTTTTCTGCTTTTTAAATAAATTCTGGAAGAAAAATATTCATCTTTTCATCATATTTTGTAAAAGGAAGCCTAGGAAACCATTGCTAGAAATCTGTTATGACGTTCTCAACCAGCAGGAAACAGTTAGACTTACCCATTTCATGTGGAATTTCATGACACAAGATAGCAATTGTCGTGGTTATTCCAGACTCTGATGAAGACGAGAAGGCTGCTCCTATCACGAGGCCATCTGCAAAATTATGCAGACAGTCCCCCACCAGTATCATTATTGCTAACGAGCTCATGGGTTGGCCTAAAAGATCCAATAAAGGTGTGAGAAGCATTAAAACAGCATTATATATTTCATGGAATCTGTCCAACACAGCTAACTTTCCCATCCACTTGTGACATTCTTAAATTGCATCAGATTGGGTAACCCCAATTTGTCTCAGTTTTCGAAATAAGTCAGGACTGAAGATGCAAATGCGTTAACCGATATACTGTCACTTTTTTAAATGGCTCTATTTTTTAATGAGATAAATTGTGCACTGGCACTCACTATTCTATCACCTTGTCCAGCTGTGCCAAAATTAAAATATTTTTATAACCTCCCAAAATACCAACAATGACCTTGCCATGTGTGTCCTTTGTAAAGCATTTTAAGATAACTTAAGAACCTCCCTGCGGAATGTCATTAAAATGAAGTCTTTTTCCAAAACTGTCCCCTCTGAGTCAGACTGTCCCTAGTGGCAACCTGCAGGAGTGCCCTTTCTGCCAGGGTGTGACCACTGTTTCCCTGTCTGGTAATCACCCTGACAAAGTGTCTCATCCACTGGCCATTGGTGACCCCGGCAGAACCACTTCCAACTCTGCTGATGCCACAGTTGGCTCTGGAACAACTACTTAATGTTCTTATCTTTCTGACATGTCAGTGTGAGGCCAGCTAGACATTGAACAAAATATGGAGACACCGTTTTCATGGGATTCTACTGCATAATATACACGATCTGATTGGTGAAGAGTCAATGAGCTAATGTAGATTATAATGGGGTTAGTTATGAAATAATTTGGATCATAACAGGGTTCAAGTTTTTAACACAGAGAATTTCTGTTTTCCAAAACCTAAGAATGTATGTCAGCATAACAATTAATGGAGTTGCAAAAGGTATTTCCGAGATAACATTCTGACAGTAAATGACCTAGGCATACCATTTGATGAGAAAAGCCATTAAAATCAAGTGTCTTCATCTAAAACTTCATTAATTACTCACCTGCTCTCCATTGGGTGACAGGTGTGAGTAGTAGCTACTGTTGCTGTTAGAACTGAACACAGCATTCTAATCATTGTACACTCAATAAAAATAGGAAGAGGGTGCCTCCTGACTTCTGTTACATGGTCTGAGACCACAGGGGGACTCTGTTACGATATGGTTTGCTCTTTTATTTGGGAGGATATAACCTGACTCATTTCATGTCCCACATCAGGAAATAAGTAACTTCAGTCAAGTTAACAGAAGATATAGCCCAGACGGTAAGCCAGGAGATAACTGTTTTTGACTGTGTTGCAAAGATTTCCCATGCATTTTGCTTCTAACAATCATGCTTTATTTAGAACTATCACTGTGAGACTGACTTATATCCTCCTTGTAATTTACTAATTCATTTTATTTTTTATTAAAAATAAGAAGATACCAGGCAACAGTCATAAAAACACAGGCTACCAGTACATCTCAAATTATTGAATTCTGGGAGTTCTTGTTGGCTTTGCCTGGAAACTCTCAGAATCTAATAATGCTTACCAGGTCCTGAGCTATTCCTGCTACTTTTCAGAAATAAAGCTCTTCTTTGTGAAACCATAATAAAATGAAATAATTTAAAATAATACATTGGACAACATTGCAGCATGCAAATAAGTTGTAATTCCCACATGTCTACATGTAGGTAGTATTGCTATTAATAGCATATGTTCAAAGTGGAAAATTTCTACCCAGCTTATATTCTAGTAAGAAACAGTGTGGCTTGTTTTTGTTTTCTGTTATTTTATTATCTCTGATTATAGGTTTCTAAATAACAAATCATGGACATGTAATAAGCCACAAGACAAGTTACATTTTTGCATGAAAGCAAGAGGAATATGTTGGCATATTGTTAAGATAATTGAAACATTATTCAGCAGAAGGTAAACCAAGCGTTCACTGGTGATTTAGTGTACTCATTACAGAATTATCAATAATATTTACCTTTCCTTATGTACCTGGCAGTCATATTGGGTTACATGTTTCTGACTTACCAGAGATTTTCCATGGTGGAACATGGGCTGGACCTCGTATCATTTTGCTTTCTGTTTATTTAAATCAAACTGTGGGTAGGATTTTCACATCCTGTCTTTGGAAACACAAGCTGAACTCTACCAGTGAGGTAATATGAAATACGTAATCAAATATTTGAAGCTAATTCAATATGTCCCTGGCAGAAGGGCAGTTGAGTAATTGAATTCGTTTTTTTTCACTATTCATTCTGTATGCCAAGCTTGATATCTGAAGTGGATAGATATGAGGCCTATAAGGTATTTTAATAGGACCACTGTTACTCCCTGATCTAGCATCTGTTCTTTGCTTCTAATTTGACTGAGCACATCCTTCTTGCCTCTTGCTTCCTTTCAAAAACAAAAACAAAGAAATGTCTATTGTCAGGTATTCTAAAATATCTCCTAGAAATGAAGATTTAAAAGGAAAAAATTTCCCAACAATGTCCTGAAAGCAGAATTGGACACACTCTGTAACTATATATTTTGAATCAAATAAATAAATTACAGGAATATATCTGACACGTTTAGAATGGTGATCCATCCCAACCACACCGCAAACTATAAATAAATACCATTCTCATTTTAATTATCTCATGCATCAGTGTCTGAAGCATGGCACGTTCTTAAATGAATGAAAATGTAAGAAGACACATAGGCACATGCATTGATAAATGATCACAGAGAAGTTGTTGGTACATTAGCATTTCCTCAGTGCCTCAATGCTGGAGCTTACTAGCTATGTAATCTTGGGCACTGACTTAGCCTCTCTAACAATTGGTTGCTTCACTTGTATAATTTGGATAATAATTATTCTTATTTTATTAAACTGTAGGAGGGTAAAATGAGATAACCCGTGCCTAGTTTTTAGCACTGTGCTTGGCATATAATAATTGTTCAATAAATGGCAACTATTTTTATTATTGGGAAACTAACTTATTATAGTAGAATGGGAATAACTAATCATAACTTAGCATTGATCATGTTTAACATTAAAACACTAAGAACAGTGTGTCACAAAAAGGTAACATAACTGAGAAAACTGGGACAAAGATTCAGGAGCAACTGATAAAAACTAAAACAGACCAAAACATTCTAAGAATTATTCACAAACATAAGCAAAAGGAAATAAACTTCTATCCAAAATTGGTAAATTATGTTCAGAAAAGGATTGGTTGAAAATTACATCAACAAATAAGTTGTAGAATAAGATGTGAATATTAAGGTATCACTGATTTGAACTCCACCAGCTTAAATGGTAATATCACAAATGAGATAGGCATTTATGATCAATTTTCAGTAGACAGTGATAGAAGACAAAAAAAGCAATGATGCCTTCATACTTCACAGGAAGTGCAAGGCTTAGTCATCATGTAACTATGATTTTAAAGGAACTCTGATAACCACATATGTACTTACACTAATTGAAGTTTTTAGAAGATCAGTTTTAAGCAATTGGGGGAAACAGCATTTTTTAAAGAATGGAGTAAAGTTGATATTAATGTTTGGTATGTTTCACAGACCAATGGGAATAAACCTATTAAAAATTCTATTGCAAAAATTTTAATAATGAAATACATAACAAATTTTTGACATTTATTTCAAAGCAGACATAACCTTTATCTATGACATTTTCTACATTTAATGTTTAGCTTTTATGAATTAGTACTGACATTTTCTTTTTTGCATATATCAGTAGTTTGTGTATTGTGGGGTAGTATTGTTTTTTTTCCCCTTTTTATTTATTTTTCCCCATTACCATTTATCTCCCCCATACCCTCTCCCAGCTCCACCCACCCCTCCTCCCCCACAATCACCACACTCTTGTCTGTGTCCATAGGTCTTCCTCTTTTCTTCTCTGTGAGTACTCACATTTTCTGTTGGAGGCTGTCATACCACCTATAGGAATTTCAGCCGCCTGGGATTCCTCTGGGCCTTTCTATTTTAAATGAAAAAATAAGTGATAAAAGATAAGCAATGGTCATCTTTTTTGTTGAAAAAATGAAGCATCTGAAGAGTTATGTTGATTTTTAAAGGATAGTTGAATACTCTAGAGTTCTCAACCTTCTGGCCCTTTAAATACAGTTCCTCACGTTGTGACCCAACCATAAAATTATTTTCGTTGCTACTTCATAACTATAATGTTGCTACTGTTATGAATCGTCATGTAAATATCTGATATGCAGGATGGTCTTAGGCGACCCCTGTGAAAGGGTCATTCGACCGCCAAGGGGGTTGCGACCCACAGGTTGAGAACCGCTGCTCTAGAGCATATTAGAACTTCTAAATTTCACAGACACACCTAGAAGGTACGGCTGGGAATCTGAAGGCATTTGCATCATCTGCCTTTGGGTGCAAGTAGCCCTCAGGGAGAGCAGAGCCCTCCATGGAGCGCCAGAAGCTACCAAGACCGTCTGTAACGCAGGCTCCTGAATGATGGAGCCTTTATGAAACCTAAAGTTGTTAAAAAAAAAAAAAAAAAAAAAAGATTCTTAATTCTTGACCTAATTTAGCTCTTCTCCTGATTGTAGATCTAAAATTCATCTTTTGATCTTTAAGCAGAATGTGTATTGTGGGTGGAGAAGTAACCCATGCCAACACATACTTCATTTCCTTCATCATGCCGTAATATTCTGATTTTCTTGCTTTACCAGTCAGTAAGAGAATCTTGGTGATTAAGAAGGTATATTAACAGAATGAAAAAAGACAAATATAATCATTTTGTAAAGTTTTCTCATCCTTTGATATGCTGGGGAGGTGAGATTTCAAAATGGATGTCTATGAGTTAGGATTATGTGATTTTATTTCTGAGACTGACTCATGGTTCAGTTCCTTGGAAAGTCACTTTTCCTCCCTCCACCTCAGATTTTTATTTTATTATATGAAAAGAATAATTTTTACCTGCTTTTAAATATGTTATTTTGAAAGCACATTTATATAATTCCATCAACCAAAATTGTGGAGACTTTGAGACAAATTTAATGTGAGACATAGCATCTTTTTTAAAAAAACATAAAACAAGAAGTAAACTTAAAGTTCACATGTTAAATAATAGCAGGCATTCAAAAAATGTAATGATAGGAAGTTTCTTAGAAAAGAATGCTGAGAAGAAGACCTGAAGGATATAGGTTAAAGGAGGTAGACAGACCTCTTGCCTGAAATTGGTGTATCTAGAATGATCCCCCCCAAAAATGTATTTGTTTTTTTTTTTATATTATACTAGAGGCTCGGTGCACAAAAATTTGTGCACTTGAGGGGTCCCTCAGCTGGCCTGCACCCTCTCGCAGTCCAGGACCCCTTGGGGAATGTCCACCTGCCAGCTTAGGCCTGCTCCCTGGGGGATTGGGCCTAAGCTGGCAGTCAGACATCCCTCTGGCAGCCCAGGAGACATCAGACATTAGTCAGACATCCTTAGGGGCAGGAGAGGCTCCCACCACTGCTGCTGCACTGGCCAGCCATGAGCCAGCTTCCATCTGAGCGGCACTCCCCCTGTGGAAGTGCACTGACCACCAGGGGGCAGCTCCTGCGTTGAGCGTCTGCCCCCTGCTGGTCAGTGTACATCATAGCGACTGGTCTTTCCGCCATTAGGGTCAATTTGCATATTACCCTTTTATTATATAGGATTAAGGCCTGATTATAATCAAAAGTCACTATGGTTCCATTAAAAGTCAGGAGTTCAAATATTTATTTCAGGATATTTTTCTCCAAAAAGCTATATAATATCATACTCTGTAAAGGAATTTAGAAGCAAATATCCATAATTCCTCATTGATTGGAAAGGATTGTAAATTCCCTTCCTGCCTGAAAAATGAGAAATTGAACCAAATAGTTCTTAAAGTTCATATTATTTCTATTTGTTTAGCTTTGATCTTGCAGCTTAAATAATAACAGGAATGGTGAATATATTATTAATGAACCAGCATATTCAAATACAGCCAAACTCTTTAAGTTAGCATCAGAGATCCTCCTATACACATCTTGGGGTTCTGGACCCTTCAATCAAACATAAGAAATGGAGTCTACATTTAGAGTGATTTTTAAACTAATCTCAGCCTAAAGTTATCTTCTTTCCAACCACATGTGAAATAAACACAACAGGGCTTTTAAAATCAATTTTAAAGGAACTGTTTTGTTCCTATCTTTGAATTAGCTCTAGATCTGCAATCTACTGCCTGACTTCTGTTTTGCTGTGTTACTGCCTCAGGAATAGCTTACTTGTCTCTACTCGGTTAGGAATCTATCCTTGAACTGTAAACCCCTTCCCCAGGGCCACGGTTATAGGAGGCAAGTTTTCTGTCTCTTACATATTACTTTCATATTTTGCCTGTTTCTTAGAATTACAATGGGAATACTGTTTTGAAGCTGATTGGATGTTGTGTTTTGAGAATTCATATGGACAATTTTGTTATGAAAAATACAATGCAACAGAAGGCACTTAATGAGACATCTCATTGGGCAGACATCCACATTGTGAAATGAACACCTAGATGCACTCCTAGATGCACTAATTCCTCATTTAACACTTATTTACATCCACCTAGCCATGGCTAGGGATGACTCAGAGTGCAAAACTAAGTCAAGGTCAACTGGTTTATGAAAACTTATAAACCAAATCATTAAGTTGCTATATATTATATCAATCTAATCCATACTTGTTTCAAATTGGTACAGATAGCAAAGATTTGAATCTATGGAACATGTTTTTTACACTTTAAAACAGCTTTCAGGCGCTTGGCAAAGTTTTCCAAATTATTTATCATGGTCAAGAATATAGGTAAGTCAAGAGTAGATTCTATATCTATCCTACTGATTTTCTATCTAATAATCAAGAAATAGAGGAAAGAAGGTAATCAAACTAGTATTATAATTCAGATCGGTAACCTACCAACGGGATAGTTGAAGCAGACTTGCCTCTGCCTGACTGGTCACTTACTTCAGAGTTGAGTGCAAGGTGGTGGGAATGTCCCACGTGCCCGTTAACCAATGGCACGCTCTGCTGGGTAAGGATGGTTTGAAATTAGTTCTGAGGGCGAAAGAATGCAGGTACAGCCTTTGTCAATTCCATGGTTTTGTTTAACATTTTGCTTTTTGGCCAAAGTGGTGGGTGACACAAAAAGAGGAATGGGAAATCTCACTGTGATAAAAAGTTGCTAAAATGCCTCACTTGGAGAAGAACAGGACTGCTTCATGCATATTCAGAATGCTTTAAGAATGCAATTTTAAAAGACTCAAACAGTGATGGCTTTTATAATGTCATTTTTATTTACTACAAAATTAAATTTTGATTTTTTTTTCTGATGGAGATACCAAAAGGATGATAAGTGAAACTGTATTATACCCTAAAACGACTAAATAAAAATCTACAGATTTTAGAAGCACTTGTAGCTTCTAAAACATGTGCGTTCTTTTTATTTTACACAATATCATGAATCTTAAAATTATGTTCTTAAAACTTATTTTAAGTTCCCTGAAAAATACAATGACAATCTGAATTAATGCTACATTTTCAGATTTTATTTCACTCATTTCCATCCTGGTTAAATTTCTCATTATTGCACATCGTTTGATTTGTTGGCTTAGCAATTTAGTTTTCCGAGTCCAGGGATGCTAATATATTGTGTATATGTGGTGATCTATTATTGTGGGGGTTTTTTATGCTTATTAAGATTAGAGCTGCTTTTATGGAAATTAATGTCCCAAACTTCTTTAGCAAGAGATGTGACTGAAGCTTGAATTGTCCATTTTAAGTCACATCCTAGCTTGGGGCGGAGGCCAAAAAGCAAACCTGCTTCATAGAACAGGAATTGTTTTTCAGGATTCTGTTGAAAATCTATTTATTATAAAAATTTTCAAATATACAGAAAAATGGAAAAAACTGTGATGTGAACACTTACATCTACTTCCTGGTCCTGTCAATGACATTGTGCTCGCTCTATTTTTATCACACATCTAGCCACCTAGCAACCTTCTACCCATCTACAGAACCATCTTTCTTTGATACATAAAGTAAAATTTTTGAATAAACTTAGGAATGATAATAAAGAAGTGCTGATATTTTAAAAGTCTACTAAAATTTGGCCTAAGCACAGTCAGGGTTAAGAAAAATCCATAGAAGACTGCAGAGCATCAGGACTTTATGTAAAGAAAACTTGCTTCATTATAATCCCCTGGAGTCTTCCAAAAGTGTTTACCTTTTAACCATCCACCAAACAGTTCAACTGTTTTCTTATTGGTCAAAAAAACCAAAATCATAAATTAACAACACTCTGTTTTATGTTTCATCATATATGTAGAAATTAATCAAATACAGGCCCAAATGAAAGCAATGATTCAAGCTAATTTTTTTTTTTTTAAAAAGGATTTCTTACAAATACCATTTCTGAGCTCCTTGTTTTTAATACTTTTAAATGTCCTTAAGATACAAAATAATGGGTAATTTTGAAGAATTCTCAAAATTTTTGTTTGCTTGTTTGGTTTTGATTAGAAAAGTCATTCAAAACATTGATTGATCGCTAAGCCTCTGGGCCCCTTCATTCTCAGACGTGAAATAGTCCCCTGTTTCTAACCTAGCCATGAAGGTCAGGTTGCAGATTGGAACAAGTACATCAACGAGCCAGCTACAGATGTTTCAAAGATTAGTAACCGGATTTACAGGGAAGTCAGAATGACCTGTGTATTCTGGAAATCAGAGTCTCATCCCTTACATAGACATCTTCATGAAAACGTCAATTACTTTTGAACAAGTACAATAAAAGATGGATATTATGAAGCCCCAAAGCAAAGGATATATCAAATTTAAACTACCTTGACATTTGGTGATACAAGAAGAATAAAACATTTTTCTATCAAGAAAAACCCATGGATGCCTCCAATTAGTCCCAACAGTTTCCAAATGTGACCTTTGCTTTCATGGAAATGCCCAGACTCTGAGGCTTCCTGCGTATGTAAACCAAGAACCTAAAAAAATAAAAATTTAAAAAAAGATAAGAGAGAGAGAGAGACATAAAGAAATAAATTTTGATGATTTAAATATTAATTAGTAGGTCCAGTATTGAATATATTCAACTTTCATTCTGGGGCACTCCATGACAAGTCCTGAAATAATTCGAAGCCCTGTTTGCTTTTAGATGTATAAATGCTTCCACCGCAGGGTTTAATTCCGTCAAATAAAATGTGTACAAGAGGAAAGAAGGGAGAGCTGTGAGTAATTTCTGCTTATGAACACAATAAAGCCTAAGCTTATTTCAGCAAGTGGCCTAAATTTTCATACATTCTTAGTCCTTTCGCTGAATTGTTTTCCAGGAGTTCAAAAATATTTGCATAGCAATGCCTTGTAGCAAGTCACTGTATTTTATATCCAGAACAAATACAAAGATACATTTCATCTGGCCTTTATTTTCCCCATGCCCCACTGCAATTAAAGAATATTTTTAATAATTGTTCAGAGAAGTAAAAAATCTGCCTGAAAGACATTTTCTGTTCAAGGCATACTATATGCCTGGCAATACTGTCAGGAACCTGAGACAGAAAAGGATACAGGAAAAGCATTAGGAATTTTCCTCTAGTTGACTCATCTATTGGTTGACTCACTACATTGGTTGACCTCATAATCTCTTATGGGCTAGTAATCATTATGTATCATATTCCTTTCCCAGGAGATGGCAATTTAAGAACTAACTCAGTGGTTTCCACATTTAGGGTGTTACTGACCATTAAAAAAGAGAAAAACAAGATTATATATGCACATATCTTATATGCATATATTTATACATATATGTATGCAATAGATATGTGTGCAAACATATATTTACACACAAGTGCATGAATGAGCATATACACTGAGTTACAAAACCAACATATGTTGGTCAACTTTTTCTTTTGGTAAAGACATTAACGGATGCCCACCTAATATTTGTAATTATGATCCTACATAATAAAGAGGTAATATGTGAATTGACCATCACACCCTCGCATAAGATGGCTGTCAGGGGAGGGGAGGGGAGGACGATCAGGCCAGCAAGGGAGGGCAGTTGAGGGAGACCAGGCCAGCAGGGGAGTGCAGTTGGGGGTGACCAGGCCAGCAGGGAGGGGAATTGAGGGTGATAGGGCCAGCAGGGAGCAGTTAGGCATCAATCAGGCTGGCAGGGGAGCGGTTAGGGGGTGATCAGGCTGGCAGGCAGAAGCTGTTAGGAGCAATCAGGCAGGTAGACAGGCAAGGGGTTGGGAGCCAGCAGTCCCAGTTTTGTGAGAGGGATGTCCGACTGCCGGTTTAATCGGACATCCCCCGAGGGGTTCCAGGTTGGAGAGGGTACAGGCTGGGCTGAGGGACAACCCTGCCCAGTGCACGAATTTCATTCCCCAGGCCTCTAGTTATTTCATAACATAGAGAATATTGTAATATCAAAGAACAGGAAAGAAACACAACCCTGGAATAAAATGCATATCTTTAAGTGGAATAAATTTAGCTAAATGGCATTTTTTTGTGGGGGGAGGGTCATTTCTCTGCAGCCCTTTGAACACTTGTCATGGATCACATTCAGGAACCTGATTTTTTAGCTTTCCACCACCTTTGTACTGCATCTTCCTCTTCCCAATAACTTTTGTCCTCGTCTGGCTCCTTGAATAAAACTGCCTTCCAAAGTTCATGAAACCCAGCTAATCTTTTCAGTTCCCCGCATGCCTTGTTTCTGCAGAGCCAGTCCACAGTCCCACCCACACCAATCCACCCCTGCTGCCGGGAGCGATGTCACCCCGACCTGGGGAGACCCAGGAGGCCTTCAGATCCTTTTGCCGTTTCCCTGGATCCTGGGAGCAAACAACTCTGCAGCCACCGCAGTGACCTAGAAAAAGGCCTCGGCCACCGCCTCAAGCCAAGAAGCCCTGAAATATTTCCAGAAAATTAGATTACAGGGGAAATTAAAACTAATAATGGTTTGTTTCATTTCTCCAATGCTCAATTGGCAATTTTCAGAATGTCTAATATTATTGAGCCTCTAAGCAACAAGAGTGACCCCGTAGGAAAGTGCCAGAGGCGCGTGGAAAATTTTAACATCTCAGACTTTCTGAGAGGATGGATCATTTGTTCATCACAAGAGATTTCAGAGGAAATGGGCACCCTCATCTGAAGACCCTTCTGCCTGAACTCATTTGCATCTCAGGTCCATTTCGGACAAAGAGCCTTACAACACTTCAACAGAGAGCCAACTTCCTGGTGCCTCCACTTTCCTTACAGGAGATCTGTACATTCTCCATTGGGCATGATGGCCCAAATGAGGAGAGGTTAATGATGCTACTATTACAGAGGTACAGGCAAAGTCAAGGGTGCGGATACAGAATAATGAGACAACCAGAAACTTGCCACCCCAGGAAACCATTTGCCCTCGGGGATGAAAAGGCAAAGGTTGGAAGTAATGTTGCTGAAGCTCAGTGGGAGGCGGAGCTGGGAGGAGGCCTCCATGGGAGCTGTGGGACTGCAGGGTAACTGCTGCTTCTACACCGGCGATTTTCAACCTTTGTCGCCTCATGGCGCGTACACTAATGACCAAAATTCTGGGGCATAACAAGAAATAGGTATAATTTTTATTCATTCACAGCAAATGGCTGTTGTGTTGGCTGCTGTCATTTTTTTATTTGACAATCTAAGGGAAAAGAGGCCGGTATCCCTGACTAAATATTGCAGCTTTTAAAAATTGCAATTTAAATGGCAATGGCACACGGGTTGGAAATCGCTGTTCTAGAGCAAGTACCAGAGCCAGGAGGGGGCAGGAAGATACACGCCCGCCCCTCACTCCTCCTCCCCTCACTTTCTGTTGGGCCTCACATTGGCTGAACCCAACAACAGGAACAGCCCGAGAGGGGCCTGAGGACATGCAATCTTCCCAGCACAAAAGGCAGCAGAGAAGGGCAGAGAATGAAACCGATGAGTTTTGGGGGCACTGGGGAAAGCCAGTGCGATGCTTACAGCCTGTTCCTCTTTATTTACAGGTAATTAGTAAGTGCTTACTGAATTTTTCTTAGTAGGAATCTACATCTGGTCACCTTTTTTTTTTTTTTTTTATTTCAAAAATAAGCATAGCGTGGTGAACATAATAATTGGTCATCTCTTTTTTCCTACACATGTTTTGCAGACATAATATGCATTTCCAAGGAAAACACTGGCCACTATGTCTACTCATCCAAGGTGCTGTGAAATTTTGCGTAAGTACCTCCAATTGCTAAACTTAAAGAGAAATTGGACCTACTCTATCTGACATGGAAGGGAAAAAAAAAAAAAAGCTTACCTGAGGGATAAGGTGGAGCAGAGCATCCCCAGAGAGCGTCCCCACAGCCAGGCCCACAAAGAGCTGTAGGATGAGCCTGTAGTTCTCCCCGCAGCTGTGGAAGAGGATCAGCGCTGTCCCGAGCATGGAGCCCAGCGTGAGCAGGGCCACAGCCACCGTGCTGTAGCCGTACTCTAAGCGGGAAGGAGAAGGCGAAAGCAGTCAGTGCTCACACCCTCTTGCGAGTGCCTCAGCTGGTGCAAGTGACAGAAGAATCTGTCTTACTGCACAGTCCATAGGGCTATGAAATTGTTTATGTGTTATACTGGGTAAAATGTTTTCATTTTTAAGAATGAGAAGATTTGCCCTAACCGGTTTGGCTCAGTGGATAGAGCATCGGCCTGCAGACTCAAGGGTCCCAGGTTCGATTCCGGTCAAGGGCATGTACCTTGGTTGTGGGCACATCCCCAGTAGGGTGTGTGCAGGAGGCAGCTGATCGATGTTTCTCTCTCATCGATGTTTCTAACTCTCTATCCCTCTCCCTTCCTCTCTGTAAAAAACAAACAAAAACAACAACAACAACAACAACAACAAACCAATAAAATATATTTTTAAAAAATCAATAAAAACATATTAAAAAAAAAAAGAATGAGAAGATTTTCACCAAACAACCCTGCTGCTTTAAAGTTACCCCAATGACCCCTTATTTAAAAAGCACTGTGGGCCGAGCTGGTGGGCTCAGTGGTTGAGTGTCGATCCGTGCACCGGGAGGTCACGGTTCGATTCCTGGTCAGGGCACGTGCCCAGATTTGGGGCTCGATCCTCAGTAGGGGGCATGCACCAGGAGGCAGCCAATTGATGTTCCTCTCTCATCGATGTTTCTCTTCCTCTCACTTGCTCTTTCTCTAAAATCACTAAAAACATATTTTTTAAAAAATCACCATGGCAAGCAAGGACCTAGCTCACCTCCCACTCCCAAGATATTAATTTCTCTCACTTTAAACCACCACCTCCATGGACAGGTAGTGGCAACGATACCCATCTAATCACACTTAAGCCTTTCGAAGGCAAGGCAGCAGTGTTACGATGGGAGCATGCTGTTGGGCCCATGGAGACCCGTGTTTGTATACAAAGTGAGTACTTTCTTCCAGAGGTTCTCAAAACTACTTGTAATGTCAAGAGTGTTTATTATTCTCAATGACTAACATGAGTGATTGCGTTGGTAAAATCTGATCGATGAATGTGTAGCGGTTGGTAATAAACTTGGACAACCTACATTTTGGGTTATTGCAATAATATTTTGTAACCTCTAAATTTATTCCATGTTTCTAGCTTCTAGATTTTTTGAAAAATATTCAGAAAGTACAATTTTTAAATTATTCAAACAAAAACAAATGTGTATGAGGGGAGAAGCCAGAGAGGAGGGAAGAAAGAGTAAGATTAATAGAGAGAAAAACGGCTTTCAGATATAAATGATTTGGAGAAAAAGTGTTACTCAAGCCACCATTTCCCTTTGGTTGCAGATACTCTGCTTTCTACTTACTTAGACATTATTAGTAAGTCATGGAAAGCTTGTTTATAAACAATAAAGGAAGGTAATTACCAAATGAAACTGTCATTTCCTTTAGTGACTACATACAAATAAATAATAAGTTAAATCAAACAATATAGTTATCATAGTCTTTAAAGTCCAGTGTAGATTTTAAGAAACTATCACCTTAAAGCTAGCTATCACATAAAATAGCCTATGCTCATTATTCTTGTTCTGTTCTGGAACATTCACCCTCTACATTAGATCATATTAATGATTCTAGCTGATAACATGGTAATAGGCTTGTGATTTTTAAGATGACCTTTACTGAATTATAAGTTCTAATTATAATTATGACTTATTGAATTATAAGTTCTAAATTATATAGGAGTGTAGTATTAAAATAGAGTTGGTGGTATATTCAGAGAAGGCAAAAAACTTTTAAACTTTGATTTTCTCACTCTCATCACCATTCTTTCACTGCTAGGAATCTACTATAAAGTGGTTGTTATTCAATGGATGTAGAGGTTCAGTTTTGCAAGATAAAAAAATTTTAGAGCCCTAACCGGCTTAGCTCAGTGGATAGAGAGTCGGCCTGCAGACTGAAGGGTCCCAGGTTTGATTCCGGCCAAGGGCATGTACCTTGGTTGCGGGCACATAGCCAATAGGGACTGTGCAGGAGGCAGCTGATCGATGTTTCTCTCTTTCATCGATGTTTCTAACTCCCTTAATCTCTGTAAAAAATCAATAAAATATATTTTTTTAAAAAAATTTTAGAAATCTATTGCACAACAATGTGAAAATACTTAATACCACTGAACTGTAGATACTACACTTAAGAATAATTAAGATGATAAATTCATGTGTGGTTTTTTTTTTACCACAATTAAAGTTTAAAAAATGATAAAAATGGTTTGGAATGGTCATACAGCTAGAAGTTTTATTTAAAAATACCTATGTTATAAAAAAGATCCCTAGATACATTTAACCAAGTTTCATACCCCATTCTTCCACAAATAGATTCTATGTGGGAACGTAATACATAAAGACTTTTGAAGTTTAATATGAGAATCTGGATTCCTAATAAAATTCAAAGTTGCCATGTTTTTAGGGTAGCTACAAAAGATCATAAAGTGACAAGAACTCACAAAAACAAATTGGGGTCTAACATTTCTGAGGTAAAAGGCAAAGTTTCAAGTTCTGCAGTCCTTCTCCCCCTCACCTGCCTTGTCCTGAGGGCGGCTACCAGGTGGTATTGGAAGAGGATGAGCATTTCCTAACTTTAGAGCTTACAGATGTTTTTATGTCCTCTGCGAGCCAGTTCGCACCTGCTCCCATATGGCAAGGACAGTCTGAAAACCATAAAATCTCTGACTTTTGTGGCCATCAGACTCTGCTAACTAACTTACCCCAGTTCCCTTGGCGTCATGATTGGAGTCAGGTGACTTACAGACAGGTGCTATGTCTGTCAATGTTTCTCATTGTTACAATAGAACTTAACATAATAAGATGATTGGACTTTGGGTGGTCGGCACACAAAGCAACATACAGATCACGAGTCATAGAAATGCACACTTGAAACCTATATGATCCTACTAACCAATGTCACTCCAATAAATATAATTAAAAAAAGAATAGAATAGCCCGGCCAGGATTGCTCAGTGGTTAAGCATTGACCTATGAACCAAGAAGTCACCGGTTTGATTCCCAGTCAGAGCACATACCCAAGTTGTAGCTCAATCCCCAGTAGGGGGCGTGCAGGAGGCAGCTGATTGGTGATTCTCTCTCATCACTGATGTTTCCATCTATCTTTCTCCCTTCCTCTCTAAAATCAATAAAAATATATTTTAAAAAGAGCATAAATTCTTAGCCATTCCTGAACAGCTACTTTGCATGGGTCTGAACCTTGATTTGTACATGGTAATAATGCTTTTTCCTGGAAACTGAATTGGAGGTGATGCTTAGAGATTGAATTTCACCACACTGTTTTCATAATAACATCTCCCTGTGTCCTCCCCTCTTCTTCTTATATTTCTGTAATTTCAAAAGGCCAATACAAACCTTACCCTTTTGTTACATAATGCAACATTTTTAAATTGAGGACACTAATGCTCTCTAGTGAGTGTGATTTGTTTGAATGTTTGAATTTTTCTTAGAAAGACTATTCCGTGGAAGGGTCTAGATTGAAGGTCATTAGAAAGATAAAAACTTTTCCATGAATCTGCAGTTCATAAGCCCATTCCCAGGGGCCTGTGTGTACCAAACACTGTGACACGAGGTGGAATACAGACATGCTCATGGAAGCTCTAGGTGCCATAGTTTGTCTGCCTCATCATTTCTGAGTCATCATTGACCACAAGGTGCTGAATTATTTAGCTGCTCACTTTTAAGAAAGCCGTCTCCCTCTCAGTAAATGTGGAGTTTTAACTACATAGGCCTGGCATGTTTTTGTTCACCTAAAATCTTCAAATGAGTCTCTTGATGCTTCAGAATCTACTGTGAGTAACCAAACATTTCAGCTTTTATGGGCACTGCAGACTATCTCAAAGAAAAAGAAAGGTTACTCTGAAAAAAACATATATAAGGCCCCTAGGTCAATGGTAATATTTTAAAGGTTGCATATGTTAGCTCAAATTTTTTTATCCATCATGGATGTTCTTAGGCAACCTTTTTTTTTCTTTCAAATATACAGTGCTTTATTTTTTTTTAAATTTATATTTTATTGATTTTTTACAGAGAGAAAGGGAGAGGGGATAGAGAGTTAGAAACATTGATGAGAGAGAAACATCAATTCAGCTGCCTCCTGCACACCCCCCACCGAGGATGTGTCCGCAACCAAGGTACATTCCCTTGACCGGAATCGAACCTGGGACCCTTGAGTCTGCAGGCCGACGCTCTATCCACTGAGCCAAACTGGTCAGGGCTAAATATACAGTGCTTTAAATTACAAAATGCAAATTTGTACATATTATCTCATTTGAACCTCACCGGTACCTTTTTAAGCCTTACTGTAGGGCTCACCTACTGCCCTGATCCAATGGGATACAGGCGAGTGCACTTCTGGGCGTGCCAGCCAGGTCTGGGAGGCTGGTGCCTGCCTGCACTGGTCACCATCATGCCAGAGCAGCCTCTTTGGTGTACCCCAGTGTGCCTTCGTTTTTTGTTTTTTGTTTTGCATGTGCCCTGATGTGTGAAAGGATGGGAACCCTGTAGGACCTCACTGCTTTCCCACTGTGCAGAAAAAGAGATGGGCTCCGGGAAATAAGGAGATTGCTGAAGATCACAGAGTTGGCTGGGGATAGAAGCCATGACTCAACTCTGCATTTCTGATCCCAACATTCCATGTGTTCCTTCGCTCATGCCATGCCACCTCTCAGCTATGCACTTCCCAGTTGGTCTATAACTAAGTCCGATAGAGGGGACCAAATCAATTTACATAAACTGTATACAAGATGGAAATATTCATTGAAAGCTAGCATAGCACAGTGGTTAAAAACAATGACTCTGGGGTGGTGAAGGCCTGGGGCAGGGACGGGGGCAGGCTAGAAAAGGCCAATGGGTGGGAAAGGGGGAGGGGACATAGGTATTTCAACAATATTTTTTTTTAATAAAAATAAAAGTAAACAATAACTCTGGGACCAGGTTCCCTGGGTTTGAATCCCTTACCAGAGGTGTGTCTTTGGGCAAGTCACTTAACTGCTATGTGCCTCAGTTTCCACATCTGTAAAATGGGGGGTAATTATCTCGCTCATGGGGATGTTGTGAGGATGGCATGAGTTGATACATGTAAAATGCTTGGGACAGTGCCTGTATTATAGTGTAAGCACCCTGTGTTCACGGTTATTATCACACATATTGGGTGCATTCACTTTCTGAGGGAAGAACCCGATCTTACTCTCCAGAGTGGTAGGCGGAAGGTTTGCTTGCTGGTCCTTGGGCAGCTGGCAAGAGCAGCTGAGCAATTGTTGGATGATTCCTGGACTCATTTGCTTAAAGTCCTCCTTAGAAATAGGTGAAAGGCTATTCTGTAGAAATATCTCCACGAGTTGCCCAGCGGAGAAGCAAGTCTGTGTGGGAAAAACATACATTGTTACTAACCTCAGCACACAAATTCGCCATCAATTGGCATTCTAGCTAGAATGGACACATGACGCCATAGCATTTAGCATTTACATACCAGCTAGTTGACACAGCATTTCTCAATTGACATCTCTTCTCCACAGACACTATTGTTTTTACCTACTGATATTTACCTAAATCTTTGCAATTTCTATATTGTATAGGCATATTTATAAGAGATGAGGATTATAAATAAACAGGCCTCTAAAAATTGCCACAGGCATTTGTCTATCTCAGAAGTGTTAAGGGTTGGTTTTGTGTATCAAAAATTACATTAAAAAGTTTTATTTTTTTTATTTTTAAAAAAAATCTATTTCTTTATTGATTTCAGAGAGGAAGGGAGAGGGAGAGAGAGAGAGAGAAACATCAATGATGAGAGAGAATCATCGATCGGCTGCTCCAGCACGTCCCCCACTGGGGACCGAGCCCGCAAACCAGGCATGTGCCCTCGGCCGGAATCAAACCTGGGACCCTTCAGTCCATAGGCCAACTCTTTATCCACTGAGCCAAGCCGGCTAGGGCTAAAAAGTCTTAATATGTGGGTGAGAGTGGTGCAGAGTTCCACTGGCGCAGAGGGGTGCCTTCTATTGAAATAAGACTCCATTACAAGCCTTTGTGATCTTTAGTTTCAATCAGTCAGGATTTTTTTTTTAATTAGTAATTTAAAAGGCTTGTCTCCTCAGAGCCAATTATCTTCTCCTTTCTGCTCCCCTCTGCATATATCTATTATTTTTCACAGTCTGGCCCTTTCTCTGATAGAAAACACCTGGCCATAGAAGCCCCAACTCTGAAGTGAACTTTTAGTCCCAAACCCCAAGATTGAGCTGATTCTGCAAGTCCTGACAGATCTGACGGCTTCAGCAGAGCCACAGAGGGGCTCTCTCGGGTCAGACACCCATCCAATTCAATAAGTTTTGCCCACGAGACAGGAGGTGGGATCATGCTGCTTAACCACGGCTGCCAGCCTCATTCCTGTGGCAGAGGAAGATGTTTCCCAGCAAGCACGGGACAAGAACCCCAAAAGGTATCTGCTACAAGAAGCAACATCAGAAAACTAAATGTGATTTTTTTCTTCTTGTCAAAATAAAAAAATCACCAGAGACGATTCTCTTTTGTATCATTCGTTATAATGGAATATAATTACTTCATTAAAAATACTGACAACCAAAAGAGAAACTAGCAACAAACTTTGGTAATGAATCCCCCATAATAAATATTCTTACTGGAGAATGTCTAACTGATAAGTAAAAGAGTGGAGAGGAAAACAGGAACAGAATGCCATGGACCTTTCCCCAGTTCATTGCCAAGAAATTGAATATTCTATTGTAAGCTTCTGTGCCCTTGATCTTTATTTGCTGTTTCTATGCTATTTAGATCATTGTTTTACATTTCTTCTGAAATCACTAACAGGAATGTTCTTAAAAAAAAGGCAATGCATTATATTCTATAACATTTTTAAAACAATACATTTTTTATTAAAAAGAAACTTGAATAAATATTTAGATTACTCAATGACCTTTAAACTTTCTTTATTCCTTTATATAAAACTTCAAAATATATATATACTTGAGTTGATATCAGACATGTATGGTAACTTTACAAACGTATTCTAAAACAATGGTTCGTGAACTTTCGTTTTGAGAGTCCCTTGGAGGGGGTTTTAAAGGCAGTGCTGGGTTCCATTCTCAGAGTTTACGACTCAGTAGATCCCGGGATGGGCCCTGAGAACTGGCATTTCTAACAAGTTGCCAGGTGATGCTGATGTCACTGACCCAGGGACAACACTCTAAGAACCACTGTTCTAAAATAGGAAGGATTGCCCTAACCCATTTGGCTTAGTGGATAGAGCGTTGGCCTACAGACTAAAGGGTCCCAGGTTCGATTCCGGTCAAGGGCACATGCCTGGGTTGCGGGCTTGATTCCCAGTAAGGGGCATGCAGGAGGCAGCAGATCAATGATTCTCTCTCATCACTGATGTTTCTATCTCTATTAAAAAAATAAAATAGGAAGGATCCTCAGATCTAGGCTCCTATCTTAGGGTCTCATCCAGAGGCACGAGGAAGGGGACATGTTGTGGCAGAGGAGAATTGTAGAAGAGGTTGTTTTGTTTATTTTGCATAGTTAGCACAGAAAAATGATTATTATTGAACTTAGAAAGGGCATGTCTTAAGTAATTTTTATAAAATAACCTTAGTTAGTCTGGCTCTGTGGATAGAGCATTGGCCTGTGAACTGAAGGGTCCTGGGTTCGATTTTGGTAAAGGGCATGTACCTTGGTTGCGGGCTCCTCCCAGCCTGAGCCCGGGGCACATGCAGGAGGCAACCAATTGATGTGCTTCTCTCACATTGATATTTCTCTCTGTCTTTCCTTCTCTTCCACTCTCTCTAAAAATCAATGGAAAAATATCCTCGGGTGAGGACTTAAAAGAAATCATAACCTTAGCCCTGGAAGCTTTTAAAGAGACTTCACAAACAAGGATTAATATAAGCATTAACTCTTGTCACCTTCAGTTGACTATAATCAGCATTGAAAGAGTCCATGTAAATAGATAGCTTTTAAGAGAAAAGTAAAAAAAGTGACAGAAATTCATTTTTAAAAGTATATTGAAGTAAAAATACATGATGCTGCCCAATCATGCATTCTTCACTTATGGGAAGAGCATTCAACAGTGTTAAGAATACGTGAGGAATTGTACTCTTTTAAAATACAGATTGTGCTCAGTAAGAATATCTGAGATACAAATAACAAAAGCAGTTTTTATTTATTTAAATCAACATTTTCTAAACAATAGCATAGTTGCTAAGGGCACTGAATATGCTATCAGGCAACCTATGTAATAATCCTCAGTTCCTGTGAACTTAACTACTTGCTTATTATCCCCATGCCTCCATTTCTCACCTATAAGATGGATTAATGTGACCTAACCTCTCATAGTTATAATAATAATTAAATGAGGCAGTGCGGGTGAAATAGCAGTGTCTAATACATATCAAGTACTCAATATATGTAAGCCATCATCATAGAATATCAATTTTTTTCTATTTTAAATGATTAGGGCAGGGAAAGATTCCATGGTCAAAATTTGAGAAATCCTATATTAAATAAGAATAAAGAAGTTTATTTACTAAAGGACTTCCCAAAACAGTGCAATGTGTTATCTCCAGTATTTCACAAGCTCATCTGACCATAGCACCCATTTTTAAGAAGCATCACAGTACACTAGTGAATGTATTTTGGAATACAGCTTTAAGAAATATGGATATGTTTATAAGATCACATATCACCTTTTCTCAAAAACCATTTCAATGCTACCTACTATACAAATATTTCTCTGTTGCTCACAGCCCAAAGTAATCTCTTTATATTCTAATCTAAATTAATCTAATCTAAGTTTAAAGTATTCATTCATTAGTATTATAAGTATTTATGTAATGTCTATATCCCCCCACTACCCTGTAAGCCTGCAAGCTCCATAGGAGCTGTGCCTGTTTTTGTTCAATTCCATATCACTAATGCCCACAATAGTGATTGGCACATAGTAAAGGCTTAATATATGTACATTGAACTAATTATTCATGCATTCAACATAGACCCAAGGGAAGAAAGAGTAATATATCTTATTCTCTTAAAAATCGTGGCCTCATGTTTATGTTTGCAGAGAGCCACTTATAGAAGGGGGAAAAAATGACCATCCTGTGTAAACTAGGGTCCCGGTGCATGAAATTTGTGCACAGGGCGGGGGGCAAAGTGGGGAGTGGGGAAGATTCCCTCAGCCCGACCTGCACCCTCTGTCATGTTCCGGGACCCTGGCCGCTCTGGGCCTAGGTGTAGGCCTACAGGTTTGGGGCGGCCTGGTTCCTGAGGCCCCATTTTATCAAAAGAACAAAGTCGGCGTTAGTTACAGCCCTCACCAAACCCAGTACAGTGCGTCTGTGCGTACAACTGCCTCGTTCATGTGCCTGCTTCGCCCTACTGAATTACTAACATCTTGAGAACATAGCTCTGTCTTATCCTATTTCACCTTCAGTGCCTGGCCCAGTGCCAGGGACCTGGGAGTGTTTGCTGAGTGAATGAGTGAGTGAGTGAGTAAGTGAATAAATGAGTAAGTGAATGAGTGAATGAATGAGCGAGTAAGTGAATGAGCAAGTGGCTATGGGGCGCCCTGCTCCCGGCTGCCTGGCGCCTGGTCTGGGAAGTTCCTGCCCCTCTCCTGACTGCCCAGCACCCACTCCCAGCTGAGTAGTTCCCACCCCACTCCTGGCTGCCCAGTGCCCCGCTCCCAGCTGTGTAGTTCCCACCTGGCTCCCGGCTGCCCAGCGCCCATCCCAGGAAGTTCCTGCCCCACTCCCAACTGCCCAATAACATCTTTGTTGGGTTAATTTGCATATCACGCCGATTGGCTGGTGGATGTGGCTTGAGTGTAGTGGAGGGATGGTTAATTTGCATGTTTCTCTTTTATTATATTGGATAGAATATTCTTACATTTTAAAAAAATACATATTATTCTTTAAGGTTTCTACAACTCTTATGCCACTTTCAGAGCTGGGATTTCTTTGACAGTGGCAAATGAAGATATAAGAGGAATAATGACAATACCTGATCCCAGGAAATTGGACCATCCACTGACTCTCGGTTCATGGATACCGATAGATTAGGGTAACTCCCATCATGAATTGTTATGTTGTTTTTTTTCCTTTGAAGCTGATGGACTTGATCTTTTCTGTTACAGGTAACTTTGGTCCAGAGAGTGTTGAGGAGTTGGTCTAGTTCTAGAAATTTTATACAAAGTCAGTGTCACATAGAATAAAGACAGGTCAATTTCAGAATAATCGCAATTTCACATGACCACAGCATTGTTATTTTATTAAGTAAATTTAGTTCTAATGAAAAGAAAATTTTATTTTGAACAATAATAAATAACATTTATACTTCACATGGATATTGGTTCCTTCACAAGATCTTGGCTAAGCTTTGGGGCTGAACCAAACATATATATATATATAGTAGTATACTATTATATCTCTTGGAGAAGATGAAATAAGCAATTCCACCAATGGAGTGCCTTCCATTGGGCCAACTAATTCATTTTATAGATGTTCCCTACAAAAATGTAAATAAAAGATGAAACTGGCCTAATCCTTAGAAATTTATTCCCCTGAGACACTACACAACTTTAAATTGACTAAAAACTTTAATGTACTTAAATCAATCAAATTATTTTTCTCTTAAGTGTTCATGCAAAAAAGAGAAAGGAAATGAAAAAATGTTGAGGTTGTAGAGACAAACTAGAACTTCTTTTCTAATACTACTGTGATATGGTTATTAGTTCATAGATTACAGTTAAGTTTCCCTCGGTACAGCTGTCAGCTTATACAAATTGATACAGAGAATAATTATGTATAATGGTGAAATTCTTTGAATTTATCCATCTTTTTACTTGTGAATAAAATATCTCTGGTATTTTCCTAAGTGTTGCCATCAGTGGTAGAAAAAAACTGCAAACTAATGTTACTACAATATTTTATTTTAAATGACCACTTTTCAACAAAAAGTCATGAGACTTGCAAAGAAATGGGAAAGTGTGACACAGAGTCTGGGGTGGGGGAGGGGGGAGTGGAGAAAGTCAATAAATATGTCTCTGAGTGTTCCTAGATATTAAATTTAGCAAAGACTCAGAGCATCTCTTATAAGTATGTTCAAAGAACTAAAGAATTAAATAAAATTATAACAACAATAAATCAACAAAGCAAATTTCAATAAGGAGATAAAAGTTATGTTAAAGATCAAATGGAAATTTTGGAGTTGAAGAATACAATAATCGAAATGGAAAATTTACTGGAGTAGCTCACAGCATATTTGAGATGGTAGAAGAAAGAATCATTGAACATGAATACAAATTAATAGAAATAATTCAATCTGAAGAACAGAGGGGGAAAAAAGATATTTTTTTTTAGAAAAAGAATAAGTCTTACCCTGGCTTGTAAAAATCAATGGTTAGAGCATTGATCCATGCACCAAGGGTCTTGGGTTCTATTTCCAGTCAAGGACACATACCTGGGTTGCAGGTTCGATCCTTGGCCCTAGTCAAGGCACATGTAGGAGGCAACCAATAGATGTGTCTCTCTCACATCAATGTTTCTCTCCCTCCCTCTTTCTCTTTCCCTTTCTCCCTTCTACTCTCTCCAAAAATCAACTGAAAAAATATAATAACCTCAGGTGAAGATTAACAACAAGAAAAGAACAGGTCTTAAAAACCTGTGGAAGCCCTAACCTGTTTGGCTCAGTGGATAGAGCGTCGGCCTGTGGATTGAAAGGTCCCAGGTTCGATTCCGGTCAAGGGCATGTACCTTGGTTGCGGGCACATCCCCAGTAGGGTGTGTGCAGGAGGCAGCTGATCAATGTTTCTCTCTCATCGATGTTTCTAGGTCTCTATCCCTCTCCCTTCCTCTCTGTAAAAAAATCAATAAAATATATTTTTAAAAAAACCTGTGGGAAAACAACAAGTAGATATAGGTAGATAGGTAGGTAAGTAGGTAGATAGATAGATTGATAGATAGATAGATAGATAGATATAAGAGAGGAGAAAGAAAAATAAGTAGAAAAAATATTGGAGGAAATAATGACTAAAACCTTTCCAAATCTGATGAAAAACCTTAATTTACATGTTCAAAAGGTTCATCAGATATCAAGTAGGATAATAACAAAATGACCCGCACACGCTATAGTCAAACTGTTTAAGGTCAGAGACAAAGATAAATCTTAAAAATGGCAAGAAACAAAAAAATGACCCATCACATAAAAGAGAGCATCACTACAATTAGTAACTGATTTCCCACCCAAACAATGGAGTCCTGAATGCAGGAGACTCATATGCAGAGTGCTGGGGAAAAAATAATCTCAATCAAGAATTTTATATCCAGCAAAACTATACTTCAAAACAGAATGTGAAATAAAATCATCCCCAGGTAAACAATTAATGGGAAAATTCATTGATAGCAGATCTACCATACAATAAACACTAAATGAATTAATAAACACTACTAGGTGAAAAGAAATGATTCCAAATGTCAAATTGAGTCCATAGAAAGAAATGAATAGCATTGGAAATGTAAATATATGGGTTAATATAAAAGACTCTTAATTTTTTCTCTCCTTTGTTCTCTAAGCTCAATGAGAAAATTCTACAGGCTTTTCTTTTAAAGTCAGAAGAATGATAAGAATTCAGAGCATCTCTAGTGTTATTTACCATTATATTGGTATTATTAACTCATTAGATGAGAAATCAAATAGAGACACAATAATTAAACATGAATAGGCAAGATTTTATTTATTTGGAGATATTATAATTACATATCTGAAAACCCTAAAAAATGCAAAAATTAAATAAAATATTTAATCATGGAACAGGTTATAAAATTAATCTACAAAAATCAATAAATTTTATATCTACAAACAAAAATAAGTTAGAAGATATAATGAAAGAGAGGGCTCTATTAAAGGGAGCCAAAGAGAAAGTTAAATACCTAGGTATAAATGTAAAAGGAAATGTCTAAAACCAACATGAGGAAAATAATAAAACACTCCACAATAACACACATTGCTGGAGTCCATTCATTGTCTTCACTAGCTGAGTTTAGACAGAGACCCCCCAAAAGCTAGTAACCTTTGAAGTTCTAGCAAAGGTCAGAACTGTGCACCACCCAGTTAATTTAGGTAATAATAGTTGAAGCATCCTCACCTTAATTCCCTTAATTCCTTAGATACTTATGTAGATCCTTGTTGATTATTGTTAATCAGATACTCTGCCTACTCCTGGAAATCTATTGATGAGCTAATCAGATACTTTGTCTATTCCTGGAAATTGTTTGCTGATCTGTGTGTCATTGAAACCTCCTTACCCTAAGGGCTACTCCAGATCAATAAAAAATTGGAGAAGCCTGAGCAGTGGTGGAAGTCCTTCGGGACTTGCTCACCTGTTCCCCCAATATTGCAAAATTATCTCATGTCTTTTTCTTTCATTTGTTGTGCGGCTCCTCTTTCAGATACCGAACCCTACTCCACGCAGAACGTGGAGGGAGTCTCACTCGACAACACATGTAGAAATGAATAAATGGAAAGACATACTATGTTCTTGGATAAAAAGATGCAACATCTGTCAGTATGGCTCAGTGGTTGAGTGTCGACCTATGAACCAAGACCTGGTCACAGTTTGATTCTTGGTCAGGACATATGCCCAGGTTGCCGACTTGATCCTTAGTGTAGGGCATACAGGAGGCAGCTGATCAATGATTCTTTCTCTTCACTGATGTTTCTCTCTCTCCTGCTCCCTTCCTCTTGGAAATCAATTTAAAAAGTGTATTTTTTTAAAAAAAGAGGCAACATCTTATAAAATGTAATTTCTCCCTAAGTTATTTTATAATTTTTTTCTATCATAAGCTTTTTCTCCCACAGCTTGAGAGTTTAAGAATCATAAATGAAAACATACAAGTACTAGAAGAAAACATGGGTGAGTTTCTCTATTGTCTGGGAACGTGGGAAACTTTTTTAACTATCCCTCAAAATCCAAAAGCAAAAAATCAAAAGTTTAATTTGTTTATAAGAAGATAAAAATATATTTGGAATAAGAAGTGATTCTAGGTTTAGGCAGGAAATTTGCCAGATAAACTGAAATATTTTATACTAAAACACAAAGAAGTTATAAAATGTTTGAAGGGTATTTTTAAAAAGACATAGGAGTGAACTTGAATAAGATTACACTGGGCAAAGAGGGAACAATGTGAGCAACAATCCTATATAATAAAAGGCGAGTGACCATAATGGCATAACAACCAGAACAACCTATCGACCAGTCGCTCTGAGGTGTTTTGACTACTTCTTGGTCCCTCCCCCAGCCCGCAGGCTCTGATCGCTGGATGGCAAACAGGGAACAACGGGGAACCAGGGTGCATGGCAGCGGGGTGGGGCAGGACTGGGGACTGGTGAGCAGGTGGAAGATGGCCCTAATCACAGGCTAGGCGTAGGGACACTACCCATGAATGATTTCATGCACTGGGCTCTCTAGTCTATCCTATCTAATAAAAGAGAAACATGGTAATTGGCATATGACCGCTACCCTTACCATTGGCTAATCAGGGCAATATGCAAATTAACTGCCAGCCAAGATGGCAGCCGGCAGCCAGGCAGCTTGAAACTAACATGAGGCTTGCTTGCTTCAGTGACAGAGGACTCCAACGTTCCCCGCCTGCCACTGCAGGCCTCTGAGCTGCAACTCTAAGCAGCTATGTAACAAATATAGAAGCTAAACAAAACACCAGAAACCTGCTTTAGTCCGCTGGGCTTCAGCCAGCAGGATCGCAACATTGTAAGCAAAGGCCAGAAACCTACTTTCAGCAGCGGAGGCCTAAGAGCTGGAGCCAAGCCTCAAAGCTAAAGCTGGCCCAGAATAAAAAGAAAAAAAGAAAAAAAGGAGCGTTTGGGAGCTTCAGTCACCCCCAGCCTGAAAACAGCCCTCAGCCCCTCACCCAGACTGGCCAGGCATCCCAGTGGGGACCCCCACCCTGAAGGGTGTGTGACCAACTGCAAACAGCCATCATCCCCTCACCCAGGCTGGCCAGGCACCCCAGTGGGGTCCCCCACCCTGAAGGGTGTGTGACCAACTGCAAACAGCCATCATCCCCTCACCCAGGCTGGCCAGGCACCCCAGTGGGGTCCCCCACCCTGAAGGGTGTGTGACCAACTGCAAACAGCCATCATCCCCTCACCCAGGCTGGCCAGGCACCCCAGTGGGGTCCCCCACCCTGAAGGATGTGTGACCAGCTGCAAACAGCCATCATCCCCTCACCCAGGCTGGCCAGGCACCCCAGTGGGGTCCCCCACCCTGAAGGGTGTGTGACCAACTGCAAACAGCCATCACCCCCTCACCCAGGCTGGCCAGGCACCCCAGTGGGGACCCCCACCCTGATCCAGGACACCCTTCAGGGAAAACCAGCCAGCACCCACCCATGCACCAGGCCTCTACCCTATATACTAAAAGGGTAATATGCCTCCCAGCACCAGGGTCAGCGGAGCCGTGAGGTCTCCTGGCACAGGGATCAGCGAGACAGAGGGCAGCGCCCAAACCCCCTGATCACCCTGCAGCTCTGTGTGTGACAGGGGGCAGGGCCACAACCTCCCTATCCACCCTGCTCTGTTCCTGACAGGGGAAGGCTCCCCAACCTCCTGATCAGCCCTGCTCTGTGCCTGATACGGGGGAGCTCCCCAACCCCCTGATCGCCCTGCGGCTCTGTGTGTGACAGGGTGCGGTGCCCCAACCTGCCCCCTCCACGGGCCCTGCTCTGTGAGTGATGGGGTAGAGCCATAACCTCCCCATCGGCCCTGCCCTGAGTGTGAGAGTGGCGGCGCCCCAACCCCCTGATCGGCCCTACTCTGTGGGTGATAGAGGGTGGCACCCCAACCCCCTGATGGGCCCTGCTCTGTGTGTGATAGGGGGCAGTGCCCTAACCCCCTGATTGGCCCTGCTCTGTGCGTGACAGGGGGTGGCGCCGCAACGTCCCCATCGACCCTGCCTTGAGTGTGACAGGGGATGGTGCCCCAACCCCCCAATTGGCCCTACCCTAAGCATGACTGAGGGTGGCATCGCAACCTCCCGATCGCCCTGCTCTGTGCATGACAGGGGGCGGTGCCCCAACTCCCCAATCGGCCCTGCTCTGAGCCCGACCAGGGGTTGCACCTAGGGATTGGGCCTGCCCTCTGCCACCCGGGAGCAGGCCTAAGCCAGCAGGTTGTTATCTCCTGAGGGGTCCCAGACTGCGAGAGGGCACAGGCCGGGCTGAGGGACCCCCCTCCCCCCTGAGTGCACAAATTTTTGTGCACCGGGCCTCTAGTATATATATAAAAGCCTAGTGACTGGCTGATTTGGCCAGTAGCTATGATGCACACTGACCACCAGGGAACAGACGCTCAATGCAGGAGTTGCTGAGCTGCCATGACTTGGCAGCTGCGGTTCTCAGGTGACACACCCAGAACCAGAGAGAGGCAGCCTGATTCCGGGGTGGGTCACCCAAGAATCACCCTCTTGCAATCCAGGACCTCTCGGGTCTGTCAGAGAGCTGGTTTTGGCCAGATCCCCGCAGGCCAGGTCGAGGACCCCCACCAGTGCACGAATCCATGCACTAGGCCTCTAGTTAGGTTACTAATAAGGATTAAGAGATATAAAATCATAATGATATAAAAGAATATTCATTATTCTCCTTTGAAGGACATAAGGAAACTATGTTATTATTTTGAACAGTGGTGAATTAAAGAATCAATTTATCCTTACTTTAAAAACCTCAATAAAATGAAGTTGTGATTAATGGAACTTTTTCCATTATAGAATTACTAGAGGCCTGGTGCATGAATTCATGCATGGGTGGAGTCCAGCCAGCCTGCCCTGATGGGGGTAGGGGGGCTGATTGGGGGCTGGCCAGGGGGTAGGGCCATGGGTGGTTGGGTGGGGCCGATCAGGGCACCAATCAGGCCTGTTGGCCGCTGCTGTGTGCGTCATAGTGATCGGTCGTTCCAGTCGCTTGGCTTTTATGTATATTGATACTAATCAATGAAGAAATGAAAGAATTAAATCATGGTTTCATAAACCCTAAATAATTAATCAATCTAGGCAATAATCATTATACCTTATAACTTATCTTAAAAAGAGACAACTAGTGTTATGTACCTTCTCATGGATAACACTGACTATAAGACAGTACCTCTAAATAAATACACAACCTAAAAATCAATCAAGCCCTGACCAGTTTAGCTCAGTGGATAGAGTGTCAGCCTGCAGACTCAAGGGTCCCAGGTTTGATTCCAGTCAAGGGCATGTACCTTGGTTGGAGGCACGTCCCCAGTGGGGAGTGTGCAGAAGGCAGCTGATATATGTTTCTCTCTCATCGATGTTTCTAACTCTCTATCCCTCTCCCTTCCTCTCTGTGAAAAATCAATAAAATATATATTTTTAAAAAATCAATCAAGCCTCTACATATAAAAACCATTATATGTGAACACAGTGCATATAAATACATACTAGGGTATTAAATGACTTGAAATGCAATCAGCAACGTCCAGACTGGATAAACAAACTTTTTTTGTAACAAAAAAAATCTGCAACAAAATAGAAAAGGTGTGGGTGGTGTTGGAAAGGGGAAGGTATGATACTTAATAAGAAACTAAAGGGACATACACACAATTTCCATTTTACAGACCTCATGTAGACCCTGTTTTAATAAGAAACAAAACAAAACAAAACAAAAAAACATGTTTAAATTAGAAAAATGTCAACATTAATGGAAATTTTTACGTTAAGGAATCATTAATGTGATATTGGTAATAAGGTGATCTTCAAAAAAATTTTTTCTTTTAGTTTATATTCTAGTAGAAATATTAAGACTGATTATTTGCTTCAAAATAGTCAAGTAATGAGAGAGGATGGAGGCAAATATAAGAATATCCAATTGATGGTAATTATTGAGGCTAGATACTGTGCATATGTGGGTTCATTATATTATTGTTTATACTTTTGTTTATGTTTAAGAATCTCTATGATTAAAAAAATTAATAAACAACAACACTTAAAACTAGCATACTTCTTTTCCTTCCAAACCAAAATGTAATCAATTGCAGTGGAGCTGTAGCTCAGAGGCAGCTGTTAGAGAAAATGTTTCATGACTCTTGTAATGAGTATCTAATTGAACTGAGATGGGATGGGGCTCTGAGATGGAATTGAATTCTCAAATGCAAAAGTGGCCAATTTTTTGGAGTGGTGAATAAACATTACCATATATAGATGATGTATTATAAAATTATACACCTGAAACTTATGTGATGTTATTAACCAATGTCACCCCAATAAATTCAATTTAAAGAAAACCTATTTGAAAAAATAATAACAAAAATAGACATACAAGTCCAGAAATCACAGAGTCCCAAATAAGATTAACCCACAGAGGCCCACACGAAGACACATTATAATTAAAATGCCAAAGAGAGAATCTTAAAAGCAGCAAGAGAATAGCATTAGTTATCCATAATGGAATTCCCATAAGACTATTAGATGATTTCTCAACAGAAACTTTGTAGGCCAGAAGAAAGTGGCAAGAAATATTCAAAGAGATAAAAAGCAAGAACCTACAACCAAGATTACTCTACCCAGCAAAGTTATCATGTAGATTACAAGGGCATATAAAGGGCTTCCCAGAGAAGAAAAAGCTAAAGGAGTTCATCACCACCAAACCAGTATTACATGAAGGAACTTCTCTTTAAGAAGAACGATCAGAAATATGAACAATAAAATGGCAATAAATAGTTATCTATCAGCAATTTAATCTAAAAAAATATACAAACAAGCAGAACAGAAACAGACTCATGGATACAGAGAACATTTTGACAGTTGCCAGATGGGAGGGGGGTTAGCAAGATGGGTGACACTTAATATCTTTTATGAGCAATTATTTAGATGTTCTAACCAGGATTCATGATGATTAATATCTAAACAATTGGCTTTAACCTTATAGCACAGCTTGCCTCTAACTGTATTTTGTCTTGCAATATGATGTCTCTTCCAATTTCTTTAGAGTAATCAAGCCCTCCAGTGGCACAGATTTTTTATATTAAAGTACTTGAAAAGTGGAGTCATTGCATGCCTTCCCCTGAAATGGAAATTCTATTGCTAAAATTTCTCAACTCCTGGTTTTCCTATCAAAATTATTCTCAGGATAACATGCCTTTCCTGGTTTCTTTCCTAGTCATGACAGCTAGGTAACACGGTTTCATTGTATTTCAACTTTAACAGAACATGTAAATAAGTTGTAGAAAAACACATCTGTCATTCAATTTGTTGTGCAAACATGTCCAGAGAAAGATCAACACTGAATTGTATGGCTACTAGTTCTTAATCCCTGCTTTCAGAGTTGGGAGATTTATATAGATCATGAGGGTATTGTTGGTTCCTTAGTAAATTCAAATCTCCCTTTATGTTGTGACTTCCCAAGAGGAAGTGTGTTGGCGGCAGCACCAGCTATTATGCAACACACCAGGATCCCTTGGTGTGCAAAGTTGGGCATTTTGATGCAGATTAAAAAAATAAGTCCTTGCATTTTTTAATGTCTTGCCAAGAACAAAGAAATCTGCAAAACAGATATTCTGATTCTATTCCTGGCATCTTAGAGCCCCAAATACCTGGCAGTCATGGATGTAACCAAAATAGATACTTTATATTACTTTTATTTAAAATTAAATTACTTACATTATGGTTACAAGTAAACTGCTACCCATGTTTTTGCACCATTTGGCATTCTACACAATATTGTGCCACCCCTGTCTCAGCACTACGTACTAAATAGGAAAGTGTTCAGTCACTGTCATGGCAGATCATTAAAAACTCTCACTTTGGCTCTACATTCATGATTTCATCATCACTGCCGAAATGAGCTAAGTCCATATTTTTGCTTCAGCATCACATAAATATTATCATAGGATGCTTGTTAAAAAGGTTACCTGAGCTGTCTTACTTCAAACTAAGATAAAATGGTGTATAAAATGTGCCTGAACAAATTTAGTCATCGAAAAGCATCAGTTTTTCTTTTGACACAATTTGTTTAGAAGGTGTGACTTGGAAGTTAAATTAATGAAAAACATCCTTACCCGGTAGGTGAAGAGTATTTGTACTGTTCAAGGAACCGAAAATATATTCTGTAAAATAGTCTGGGGAAGGTAAGTTGCTTTGCCCCAGACATACACCTTGAAGAGACAAAGCAAGGATTGTTGCCGCCAACTGAGGAAGCGTATTTTCGTCAGCACCGTCACTGCTTAGTATCCCAGACCTTTTCTGCAGCGTTTTGGTTTCCATACACTGAAATCAGATACAAAGTCAGATAAAAATTTTAACCTCTGAAGTCATTTTAAGTAAAACGTCTCTGGGATTTCCCCAAGGACAAGGACTAGTTCTTCATCTAAAAGAGGATTAAATTATTTGTGGAAACATGGCTACCATTGTTTTCTAGTCTGAGATATACCTCTATTTGGGAAATACTTATTTATCTAACATTTCTCATTACTCCTATAAAGATGTGTCTTCTCCAAGGAGATCTCTTGTTTTTACTATTTACATCCTTTCATTTGGTGGATTCTCTCCAGCTGCAAGTACAGCCTGCAGTAATGACTTTCTAATCTATATTCCCAACCTTGAATTCACACTCGTTCTGCTGCCTGGTATCATCACAGAGCACATGCCTTTCCATACTTGCCTTTAGTCTTAAGCTCAGTGTGTGATGATCACAAATCAAAGATAACATAGTGTCTGGGTTCTTTGAACTACCATGGGACATAGGACATATGACATAGGATCTTTTTCATGCATACAGAAATTTTCCTCATTTAAAATATGAGCTCCCGAAAGGCTTGAATTTTACCTTATATATCAATAACATTCCCATTCATTTATTTAAATACTAGAGGGCTGGTGCACGAATTCGTGCACGGGTAGGGTCCCTAGGCCTGGCCAGCAATCAGGGCCGATTAGGGCCTCCCTGCTGCCGACTGGGGCCTTCCTTCCGGCTGCTGGCCAGGGCCTCCCTTCCCTGGCTGCCGAATGCTGGCCAGGGCCTCCCTTCTCTGGCTGCTTACTGCTGGCTGGGGCCTTCCTCATTCCGCGCTGCCCCCTGGTTGTCAGCACATGTCATAGCAAGCGATTGGTCTCCCAGTCAAATTCCCGTGGGGAAAATTTGCATATTAGGCTTTTATATATATAGATATATTGGGTGCCTACCATGTGACAGACACTGTGCTAAATCCATTACATATACACTGTCTTTTTATTCTCCCAAAACTCCATGGAGTGGATATTCCTTTTCACAGATCACCTAGCCAAGAAAGGGCAGAGTCCGAATTTATGCTTAGATCTGACTTCACAGCTTATGCTCTTCAATACTCTTCCTCTTGTATATAGAAATAGATTGAACCCTAGCCAGTTTGGCTCAGAGGTTAGAGTGTCAGCCTGCAGACTGAAGGGTCCTGGGTTCAATGCTGGTCAACGGCACATATCTCGGTTGCAGGCTCAATCCCTGGCCCCGGTAGGGGCGTGTATGGGAGGCAACTAATTGATGTGTCTCTCTCACATCGATGTCTCTGTCTCTCCCCTTCCCTTCCACTCTCTCTAAAAATCAATGGGAAAAAAATCCTCGAGTGAAGATTAACAACAACAAAAAAGAAATAGATTGAAACCCAGGATGGTGATGGGATTTTTATATGGAGAAAGTGGCAAGTTCCAGATCAAGAAAGACCTTATACTCAGCGCTCTGAAAAATTTTCCCCTGAAGATTCCAGGGGAACCACTGAATGATATAACAATAGAAAAATATAATAAGGTATTTTCTAGAAATATTACTCTGGTGGAAAAATAGTGAATAGATAGATAGGGGTAGAATTCAAGGGCAGGAAGTCTAGTTAAGAAGTTATTAATTCAAGATATTTCTTGACCTAAAGTAGTAGAGCTAGAGATGAAAAAAAGTAGATGAATTTGAGGAATATGAAGAAAGTAGACTAAAGGACTTAGAGGAAAATGGGAAGAAGTGCAGTCAAAAATGACTCATGTTTCTGGGTTTGACAACTATATAATGGTAATGCTATCCACTAGCCCCCACATTTTTCCTAAATACCCAATATAAGTCTGCTACTTTTCTAGACACTGGAAATGCAATAGTGACCAAAACCAAAAGCATTTCTGCCCTGAAGCTTAAAGTTAGTATTATTAATAAAATAATAATTTTATATATATATATATATATATATATATATATATATATATATATATATATATATATAAACCAAGTGACCGGAATGATGAAATGACCAGAACAACTGGAACAGCTATAACACACACTGTGGTGGCCAACTGGCCCTATCAGGGCCCCGATTGGCCACTCCCAACATCCTGCTGCCCCTCCCCCTGGCCGGCCTGGCCCCCAATCATCCTCCCCACCCCAATTGGGGGTGGGGCCAGCTGGCCAAACTCCTGCAGCCCCACCCTCAGCCGGCCTGGCCCCAATCAGCCCCTCCCACCTTGATCGGGGGCAGAGTCAGCCAGCTAATCTCCCATGTCCCCTCCCCCCTGCTGGCCGAACCCCACCCATGCACGAATTCATGCACCAGGCCTCTAGTCAAATATAAGATGACAACTGTGCAATAGCTTTGAAGGAGAGGCACATGGTACAATGAGGGTAAAAACAGACAACTCTTCTACCCAGTCAGACAGGTCACGGAAAGCTTCTTTAAGTTTGTGACATGCAGACAGATCTGAAAGAGTGGGAGGAAGTGGGACAGTGTGAACAAAGCTTTTGTGGCAGGATGGAGGATGGCAAACATGAAGGGGCTGGAAGGAGGGTAGTAGCTGGGCAGGTAGAGTGAGGGGGGCATGGTGAAAGCTTAAGGTCTCTTGGCAGGTAATGGAGTTTGCCCCTTATCCTAAAATCAACAGGAAGCCAAAGGGGAGTTTTTAGCAAGGAAGGGAATGGGGGTTATATAACTGGATTTGTTTTTTGGTAAATCTACTCTGGCTACATGGTGGAGAATAAAAATATTGGAAAGAAACTCAAAGTAATCACTAATAATACAGTTAGAAGGCTATTGCAATGGTCAGGTAGAAGATGGTAGTGATGGTAATGGAGCAAAGTCAACAGGTTAAGGAGATCTTCAAGAGGTAACAGCAGTAGGACTTGGAGATGGATGAGATATGAAAGAAAAAGAAATAGAAAACTCGATTTCTAGTTAAGCAACTGACTGGATGGTGATGCCATTTGCTAACATGTGGAGCAGGCCTATTTATGACCTTGATTTTGGATATGTGAAGTGCCTTTACAATATCCTTTTTAAAAAGATGCTGTGTAAGGATACATGGGTCTGCAACCCAGAGGAGAGGTCTGTAATGGAGATACACTCTTGTGAGTCATCTTTATGTACAGGTGCCCTAGCCTAGACAAAGCATATGGAATGACAGGAGGCTGAGATCGGGACTCCAGAGCACGAATGCTTAAAAGCTACACAGAGAAATTAGAACCTGCACAGGTGAAGATGGGGGCCAGAGAGAGGGAGAGAGAAAGAAAACCAGGAATGTGCAGTGTTATACAGGCCAAAGCAGAGAATGTTTCCAGAGCTACATAAGTAACACCAAAGAAAGGACAGGTTCAGGAATAAAAATAAGCCTTAGATTTTAATACTGAGTTTCAAGTGCCAGGAAGATATCCAAAAGGAAATTTCTCCCAGATGGGTGCGTATATGCGTCTATGGCACAAAAGAAAAATCTGGGCCCGCAGCAGAATTGAAAGCAATCAGTATTTAGTTGTGTATGAGGCTGTGAGAGCACGCCACTCAGCAAGAGTATGAAGAGTGAGTAGAGGAAAAACTGAAAGGGGGGCCATGAGGACACCAAGACTTAAGGGATGGCAGATCAAGTGCATCCTCCAGAGGAACTTGACACAGAATAGCTGGATGAGCAAGAAGGAAAGTAGGAGATGTGGGTTGATTGAAATAGAAAAAAGAAAAACATGAAATATGGGGTGACAGAAATCAATGAATGAAAGTAAGTTTTATGGATGCTTTCCTTTTCCTGTGCAGAAGCTTTTTAGTTTGATGTAGTCCCATTTATTTTTTTCATTTGTTTCTCTTGCCCTAGAAGATGTATCGGCTAAAATCCTGCTACCTGAAATGTCTGCAATTTTATTACCGATGTTTTCTTCTAGGATTTTTATGGTTTCGTGACTTACATTTACGTCTTTTCTCCATTTTGAGTTTATTCTTGTGCATGGTGTAAGTTGAGGGTCTAATTTCATTTTTTTTTTTTGCATGCACCTGTCAAAAATGGGGGACATCTGTAATACTGTCAACAATAAAAAATAAAATAAAGTAAGTTACACGGAGGCAGGGCTGGACAAAAGGGAGAGAGCCAAAAGCAGAATGTAGATTGTTGAGAAACAAAGTGTGTGGGAATAAAGAATAAGACAGAAGCTCTGACTGGTGTGGCTCGGTTGGCTGAGTGTCATCCCCTGCACCAAAAGGTTGCTGGTTTGATTCCCAGTCAGAGTACATACCGAGGTTGCCGGTTTGGTGTGGGGTGCATACAGGAGGCAACTGATGTTTCTCTCTAGCATCAATGTTTCTCTCCCTCTCTCTCTAAAAATCAATAAAAACATATTTCTAAAATAAAAGAATGAGAGAGAAGAAAGATAGTTCCCTCATGAAGCTCGGCTATAAGGAGAAAGTCGGATCATCAAGAGAAGAATTGAGAGAAGATTGTTGTGTCTGTGTTGCATTCTTGTGACACAGGACAAGGAGTGAAAAGTGCCAGTTGGATTTTTTTTTTTAAGTTTGTAATTGCTGAGCTTGGCAAGAGCATATTCATATATGTGGTGGAGAGCAGACCGAAAGATGGAATCAGCAACCCAACTTTTGATAAATTTGAAGAAGTAGCCAGAAGTTCCATGGATGAAAAAAAAAACAAGCTGAAATAACAGATAGTATAAACCTCATAGAGGTAGGTATGCTTTTTCCGTGGAGGCTGTAAAGATTAACAGTCTCAATGTGACATTGAGAAGAAAGAATTCAACCACCGTTTCCATCCCCCAAGTCCTTAGGATGTGGCCATGATGCCTGTCCCCCACAGGCAGGGCTCGTGGAGAACCGGTTAGGTCCCCGTTCACCTACCATGGAACTGGCAAAACATGGAAAGAGCAAAGGGAGGTGGGAGCGTTAAAAGATTGATTCAGGAAGATAAAGCAGAGTAGTTGGACAAAAGAGAATGAAGAAATGGAGGGACGATTATTCTCTGGGCTACTGGGGAGGTTGAGTGGACTAGAGTACTAGGGTGTCAATTGTTTCTGTTGGTGAGCTGGTTAAAACCCACCTGGAGCAGCTATCAGTGGCTCGACCTACAGAGGTTGAGTTCTGTGCAGATCAAGACCTGTAAATGCTAGTAGTGGTGGGCCTGGTCTGCCAGCACCTTCTAGTTGGAGAAAGCAGCTTCCTGCAGTGAAGTGTCAACAGGTCTCCTGTTCAAGCCTGGATTGACTGACTTCCTAGCCCAGGTGAATTGGCTAAAAAAAGTACCCTTCCCGGGAACTGGAGACATTGTTTTCCTCCAGGAGGTAATGTACTAAGGACTCGCAATGGGGTTACGACTCAACAAGAGCTCAATTTTTTATGACTGGATAGCTGGATAAAGCAGGTCTACACATAATATTGTATTATTTTATTCTGTTCTAGGAATGCTTAATCCCACTAACACTTGGGAGCCCGGGTATCTGCAGTATGTGTTGGGAAAAAACAAACAAACAGAAATCTGTATTAAATATACACATAGCACCTACTTTTTAAATGCTGGGTTTCCATTTAATCCGCATCAAAAGGCAATAACAGGTAGGATGACTAAAATTCTAGTGCCTAATCTGAACTGACCTTGTGTTATAGAGATGTTGCAGTAAAGAAATTATATGTAGGAACACCTCCTTATTTAAGTAAAACAAACAAACAACTGCCCAAACTGAATTGTATGAAGAAACCCTATTTTTTAAACATATTTACAGAAAATTGGAGACATATTTGCTGGCCATTAAGCGGCAACATGATTGCACTGATAACTTTGGGCTCCCGAAGATGGAATTGAGGTAAAAAACTAAATTCACTTACACATGTTGCCATAGTCTGAATGTTTGTGTTCCCCAAAAATTCATATGTTGAAATCCTAATCCCCAATGTGATGGTACTAGGAGGAGGGGGTCTCTACGAGGTGATTAGGTCATGAGGGTGGAGTCCTCCTGAATGGGATTAGTGCCCTTATAAAAAGTACTCCAGAGAGCTTCCTGCCCCTTCCATTATATGAGGATATAAGGTGAAGATGGCATCTCTGAACCAGGGGGAGGTCCTCACCAGACACTGAATCTGCCCAGCTCCTTGATCTTGGACTTCCCACCATCCAACACTGTGATTTCTCATAGTTTCCAATGTATATAAGCCACCCAGTTTATGATATATTTGTTATAGCAGCTCACATGGACTAAGACACATGTCAATGAATATTTCAAGAGAAGAAAACATGTTCCCTCACACTCTTCAAAATGTGGTGGTAGCTTCTCAGCTAGTTCTTTCAGAAAATATGCGTTTGAAAAACTTTCTTATGATCAGAGAACTTTATCTGCTGAAACTTCATACTGCACAGAGGAAAGCAAAATGGTAATTGGAAGGCCAGCTTCTGCAGGGATAGTAATGAAGGCAACAAGAGACCAGGGTCCATTTCCTAACAGTAAAAACTGTGGGAGAAGAAAATTGTTGAAGGGACCCCTGAACATATGCAGCATGAATCAACAGCCATAAAAGACATACTGTCTGTGCTGACTGTCATGAATCATGCTTTTTACAAGTGTCTTCTTTGGTGAAGTAACTACTAAATTCATGTCTCTCAAACTGGTCTGCTTGCTCCTTCCCTGGCCGGAAGGCAAGGTAAATAGGCACGGTGCCCGGACCACTGTGGGTCAACCCCTGGAGATGGATTGAAAGTGGCTACACTTACTGACATGCTCAGTGTGGGGGCGCAGGCGAAGAGAGCTGCCCACCCACCCACCTACCCAACTTCTGGCTCAAACTCTTCTTAAAATAATTAGTCGCTACATTTCCCATTTTAGACCTAGATTTTTAAATTATGTCACTTAACAACCATATCTAAAAAACACAAATACCTATTTCTCTTAGAAATCCTTGAATGTCTTAGGAATAACTAATTGGTGAAAAATCAGGCTCTGGGACTGTATCTTAGTAGCGGAGTCAGTGAGCAATTGTGCCTTCTTACCTGGCTTCCAGAAGTGTCAAAGTGCTGCCTGGTGAGAGCCAAGATATCTTCTGTCTCATTCTGAGACAGGAAATAAGAGTCTTCATCCTGCCTCAGGCTGAGGAGGCTGTGCAGGTAAAACTTATACTCCTTATTGCTCATATTGAGCTTTGAAGAACAGATCTCCTCCTGGTGAATAATGTAATAGAGGAGAAGAAGGGAAACTCTCTGAACCACTTCCTCTCTGAGCTGATCTTCGAAATTTCCTCCAGCAATTAGCAGCAGGGCATCTGGTTCAAAGCACTGGGGGGGGGGGGGGGGGGGGAAGCATAAAACAAAGACAAAAACAGAAACAAAATTCAGCCAATAGTCCTTAAACATTAATTACCACAGTTTCCACTGCTTATAACTCCATCAATAGGAGGGGAAAGTGGGTAGGCCCAATAGCCAGATTCAAATAAGCCATGGTTGGATTTTTATGTAACAATGATGTCCTCCCAGAAAGTCCTTATTCCCTAAAAGTGGTCCCTCTATCTCCTACTGCAGTGCCACAAGTTGTCCATTTGTTACCTTGAATAAAACCAGCTGACTCGTTGGCGCTGAAAGCAATGGCCCATTGCATTTAGAATGAAATCAAAGCTCCTTATCATTGTCCCCTTGGTCTGGCTCCTGCCTCCCCTACATTACATTAGCTTCTCTCCACCTCTCTAAACAAACTTCTGCCCCTGTGACTTTTCTGTCCGTCACCCAGCTCTTTCCCACCATCTTTCAGGTCTTCTTATTCTCCTCACCTCACTCATCTCAGCTTAAAGTGCCACTCCCTCCTAGATGTCTCTAGCACACACTGTCTAAAGTTGAAAGCCCCCTCCTCCATCCCATGTTCTCCCACACAGCGCTGTTCAGTAGAAATAGAATGCAAGCCGCAAATGTGAGCCACACATATCATTTAAATTTTCCAGTAGCCACATTTTAAAAAGTAAAAAGGAATGGTGAAATTAATTCTAATAATATATTTTATTGAAGTTTCTATGTGCAAGATACAATAATTTCAACATGCAATTTAAAATTTTAAAGATAATAAATGAGCTATTTGGCATATATATATATATATATATATATATATATATATATATATATATATAATGTGTATATATTGATTTCAGAGAGGAAGGGAGAGGGAGAAAGAGATAGAAACATCAGTGATGAGAGAGAATCATTGATTGGCTGCCTCCTGCATGCCCCCTACTGGGGATCGAGCCCACAACCGAGGCATGTGCCCTTGACCAGAATCCAACCCGGGACCCCTGAGTCCACAGGCCAACGCTTTATCCACTGAGCCAAACCAGCTAGGGCTATTTGGCATTCTTTTTGTCATGGTAAGTCTTGGAAATCTGGCATGTATTCTAAACTGACCAGCAGATTGCAATTCAGGCGAGCCACATAACAAGTGCCCAAGAGCCAGCTCGTGGCAGATATGGCACACACCACTTTTTTATTTTCTTCATAGCACTAGGATTCGGAAATTACACATTGTCTGCTTGTTTTTCCCCTCTTTCCTCTTGATGACTACTGGTCCATTAAGTCTGGATTTTGTCTGCTTTGTGCACAGTTCAGCCTCAGCATCTAGCACAATGCCTGGCACTGATGAGGTGTGAAAATGGAATGCATGAATGCCATCTGTCTTTTACCCTATGTAAGAGAATTGCTAAAAGATTTTTCCATGATGCTTGATTCATTTCACAGCCCATACACCTGGCTCATCTAATCTGGCAAAAGAAGGTGTTTGGGGAGATGTGGTGGAACATTGAGGATAAAGATAGACACAGAGGTTGTTGAGGGGAAGCTTTCCCAACTAGACAGGAGCTGCCTTTCCTGAGAGACCAGTAGGGAGCACCTGAGAGTTCTCCGAGGACCCCAGAAGCAGCCCATTGCAGGGCACCAGCCTCAGCCTGAAGGTATCGAGGGATACAAGGCCTGAGCCTCCGAGGGTTTGCACCACTGTGGGACAGTTTATTATATCTTTTATAAAATTGAGGTATAATTGACATATAACAGCATATTAGTTTCAAGGGTATAATATAATGTTTCAATATTTATAGATATATTGCAAAATGATCACCCCATTACATCCCCAGGACTTATAACTGGAAATCTGTACCACTGACCAAAGTGTCTGGGTCACAAAGAAACACACCATCCATCTCTAAAGAAAAGCATTAGTCACATCTTCACAAGCCACAGACTCCAATCTCTCCCCAACTCAATTGCAAGGGACGAGAACTCAGCAAACACAGGGACAGGTTTCCCAATAAGACCAACTCTTAAGATGAATATCAAGCCTCACCACTGAAACCACAGTAGCCTTCCTGCTCCCTAAGTAGCCCACGAGAAAAGTCTATGAGTTGGTTGTTGTTGACAGGGATCACACCAAGACCGGAGGAGGTGAATCAGCTGAAATAGGTATAATAAAGCCATGCTTTGTACCAAATAACCTCCTGAAACCAAACTACAGACAGTCCTTGGGTTACGTTGGACTTGACATATGTCGTTTTGTGTTATGTCACCATCTCCCATCTACACTAATAAAAGAGAAAGATGCAAATTTACCGTACCTCTGCAACACCCACCAGCCAATTAGGAGTGAGTATGCAAATTAACCTGACAAAGATGGCAGCGGCCCCGCTCCCCAGCCACTCTGGGCCTCTGGGCAGCATGCATGCAGGAACAGAGTGGCCAGGTGGGCAGGACACTTGCTATGAGGGGGAAGGCAGGGTACGGAGGGAGCTAACAGGAGCGGCGCTCAGGCTGGAGTGAAGACTGAAGGCTCCGGCCACAGTGAAGACTCCGGCCACAGTGAAGATGGAAGGCAGTGGCCAGAGCAAAGGCCTGGGCAGCCAGGGGAAGGAAGGCCTATTGCATGAATCTTTGTGCAACGGGCCTCTAGTTTATTTATAAAAAAAAATAAAAATAGAGTTCCGTCATTTTGACATACGTACATATGTGCTTTATGTTTTTTGTTATTTATTTACCACAAGTAAAGGTCAGGAATTGATATCTTTCTTTTAATTTTTTTTTTTTTTACTATTTCACTTCATTATTGCTGTGTATGTGCTCCATGTGAGTGACGTAGGTGTTTATGTAGGTAGGTTCTGACTTACAGTGAAAATCGCATGATGCCGCGCATAGGAACGGATCTTTGATGTAATCTGAGGACCTATTATATTGTTGTATTAGCTACCAGTTATTGAAAGCCTTGTGTCCAAGACAGTGCTAAGCACTTATGTATTTTGGCATTCCTTGGTGTATAAATCTAATTGGTTTTGAAAAAGGTGTCAAATAATGATTTTTTTGGATAGTGGGGACCTTATGCATTGTTTTAAATGAAAAACAAAACAAAACAAAATCTAGACAGCCTATGTAAAAATCCACCAAATACTTCTGCATAGTATAATGCATTTAGAACTCCAATTCCCCAATTATTTAATGCATGATGAATTAGCGGGTACATTTATATGTAGTATGCAAGGATACTACACAGAATCAGGTTTAAATATGTTTTCCCTCTGAGGGAGGTATACCCACAATATATATAAAAACTCAGTATAAGAGAGGCTAAGTAACATATCTAAAGCCACACAGCTAATAGCACTTGCCCAGTCTTAATTCCTGCTCTGCCAATGATATATTTTATTCTCTTACTAGAGGCCTGGTGCATGAAATTCATGTGGGGGGAGGGGGGTGAGTTGTCCTTCAACCCGGTCTGCACCCGCTCCAATCCAGGACCCCTCAGGAGATGTCCGACTGCCTCTCACAATCTGGGATCACTGGCTCTTAACCACTCCCCTACTGGCCTGATTGCCCCTAACTGCTCCCCTGCTGGCCTGATCTCCCCTAACCACCTCTGCTTTGCCCCACACCCGGGACCCAGGATTCCCTCCTCTGGCCAGTTGCAGGCACCCAGGACCCAGGTTTCCCTCCCTCTGGTTGGCCGCAGGCACCCGGGACTGCAGGGCGGGCAGCTTGTCCCTTTCCCGGGCCACAGCCTGGCTGGTCCCCATTCCTCTCTCATGAGCTCATTTGTGCCTGGCTGGTCCCCATTCCTCTCTCATGAGCTCATTTGTGCCTGGCTGGTCCTCATTCCTCTCTCCCCAGTGTTGAGTGTCTGAGCCGTTATGGCATGACGGCATGAGGGCATGACAACCATTTGCATATTAGCTCTTTATTATATAGGATTCCATTGTTTTGTGCCATGGAGAGTATATACTGTGGACCTACCTACATAATTGCTATGCTGCCCCTCACCTAATAATTTTCTCTCCCTCCTATTTGGTAGGAAGAAATTTGGTCAATGAAGAGGCTAGGGGATTGTAGTGCTCTAATATCTATCAATGAGAATATTTTAAAATCAGAGGGTTGAATGAGGTTCTGTTTGTAGATTTTTAAGTGCTATTCAGGTTGTTTAATGGGACCAGGTAGGTAGGAAGAAGAGCATCAAGAAAACGAAGAATATGACCTCCATGAAGCCATCAGATCATGCACATGTGGCCAGGGCTTGGTTGACAGTACACAGCAGTGTACGTGTCCCCCCTTCACCTCATCTGAAGTGCCTGAGACTCCTGTCCATTTGTGGCTCCTCCTCAATGCTCTTACCTTGTCTCTTTCTAGGGCTGGAATAGGAGGGGTGTGGCATGGGGCAGCAGAGGATAGGGTACGGTCTGTAACCCTGCAGATGTTCACTCCGGAAATGGCTTATAAAAAGCATGCAACTTGGAAAGTACACTGGTTTATGACTTTGAAAAGTTTTAAATAGTTATGGAAGCAGCTCGTTCTGTCTGACTAGAGATTTTGGTCACCTTGAATAAATAGATGTTGCCTACCCCTTGCTTTAATTTTTTGAGGCCTGGTGAAAGGAAGCTGTCAAATTATTATGGGCTGAACACTTTGTGCTCTTTTATAATATTTGAATCTTAAACAAGTTCCCTTCATGGAGAAGGTAGTGGCTTGAGGAAAGGAGTTTGCAGGGAGCTCATGTAAGAAAATGTGGATTTCCTCCTGAGCACGGACATGGCAGAAGCACTGTGGGGAAGGGAGTTGTGGGGGGACCAGAATTTGCAGTGCATCGCACTGGGTTTAGCTATGAACGTGTTGCAGTGGTTCAGTAGAGTTTGGGAGAGGATATTTAGTAAAGCTGTATACTCATTGGCACCCCAGAGGCATCAAGACTGGTCTAAAGCTCTGACTCCAGGGAAGTAATTTTTTGTTAAAGAAGAATGGGCTCCTTCAGAAGTAATCCATTGGTTTTTCTTTTAATCTTATCAGGTGGAGGCATAAGGTTTAAGAGGGGAGAAACACAGATTCCGGGAAATTGTTTTAAAATTTCCATAAACTTTGGGGAAATATTGGTCAAAATGGTTAGAGGTTTTCCATGGCCTCCATAGTCCAGCCAGATTGCCTCCCCTAATGCAGCATCATTCATGGTTTATGTCTGCCAAGCGAGAGGCTCAGTGACAAAAAGCTACACAAAATCTTTCTTCTTCTACATGAGCCAAGCAGTTGTCAAACCTGCAGTACGAACTTGAAGGGCTTTAGACCAAAAGATGTTTAGAATTTGATTTGGGATTATGACTAAACCCATATGACTAAATCTAAATTCTCAGATTTTTATAAGGTGTTATTTTTTAAGGGGGTAGGAGAATGGTAACAATTGACTGTAAAATACAAGAGGGAAATTGTACTTCTCTTTATTCTCCCACACAAAGATCAGGAAGGATGTTAGCTGATGGCAGGCACTAGCTTTGTGTGGGTCTGTTCTAAGACTTAGTGGCATTTCTGACTTCCAAAAAAGAAAAGTCTTAACAGGAGAAGAGTTAAGATAAATTTGTTAGACAAACAAGATAAAGCTTGATGCTTTTCCTTTGCACTTTTCCCATGACAGTTAGACAAGTGGAGGGAGGGGTGTGAATTAGATGCGGATCCTTAAAGCAGCCATTCTCTGCCCCTGAAATGGTCTAAGAATCGCCTGAAGATTTCCGTTAGAAACCCCAAGTCCCTGGGACAGCTGAGGGGGCTGGGGACCGCAGGAGGGGGCCAGTGAGGAATGTCTCATTTCTCAGCAGCACTGCAGGTACTTCCCAAACACTGCTCCAGTGTCCCTGGAAAAGGAGGAGTGGACATTTCCTGGAGGAATAGGACATGTAAGGGGACAGGGAGAGCCTAAGCTCCCGGGTCCAAACTCATTCACACGCGGCCATGTGGTCCTCACAGAAAGCACCCTGAGGAAGGAATCTCCACCTCCGTCCTCTGTCTTATGGATGAGGATGTTGAGGTTCTGCATGTCCTAACAGCTGGAAGGTGCCGGAGCACTGCTGGCTGACTCCGCACACCACCAGGTTCCTTTTCCTTCTCCACACCTGCAACCTACGTAGGATGGTGGTTTTCATTATTAATGAGTGGAATTTATTCTTTTGGAGTTACTTAATCCCTCATTAAATTAATCAAAACTCCATTCTAACCCTTCTCATTAAAAAAAAGGAAAAGCCACGACCAGGCAAGATTATCCATTTCAAAGGCTGCAGCTTGGATAAACTCATTCTTAAATGCATAGTGCCCGCAAATGCTTCAATTTATTTTATTTTTTTAAGTATTCAGTTTATACCCAGGCCTGAAATAAAATTGAGAACACTTTTTTCCTCTCCACTTTACTCTTTTTCCAGATATTTGGGGATATTAACTCACTCTTTTGCCCTCTTTTTTACTACAAAATTTCTAATATGAATGCTGCTTCTGTGGACAAAGTCCCTAAAAAGACAAAAAAAGATTCAATGATGACTGAAGTCCTGTGATTTGCCCCAGGATGTGGGTGTTAGTGAAATCTGTCTCTCCTCACTGGTTGAGAATGACATGGGAGATGTCATGGCTCCTCGATTATGGGTGGTTCGGACAAACTGGAGCCTTTGAGCAGGTTAATCTGAAATTTGTCTTTTTTTTTTTTTTTTAACCCCAGCCTCTTCCAAAGAGAAATAGTAAGAAGGCAAAACTATTACAGACGGTGTTTGACTTCCTAGGAATGGAACTAATTCAAATGGAAGCTAATTTAGCCAAACTCTCAATACTGTCACAGGAACCAAAAAGTACCAAACAACTTCTCCTCCCCAAAGGAGTGGAGAACTGCTCTGGTGTTTACATTCCCCCTGGCTAAACGAATATTCGAGCAGCCTTAATAAGGCACATCATGTCATTAGAGAACATTTCCCTGAAGCAAATTCTCAGAGGACATTAATAAGATATGACTCCTACTTATTTCCAGTGGGAAGTCTTATGTTGCTATATATATAAATTAATGTCATCACAGATGAGTTGCCGATTAGAACACATGTTTTCTCTGGGAACCCCTGGGGATAGTACTAATTATTGAATTATTTATTGTTTTCACAGAGCAGAGAAAAATTCTCTCTATGAGCAAGACCCTTCTGTCAGGAAAAACAAAACACTGGCCGGAAATGTTGCCCCGAGAACCAAGGGGGATTGAGAAAGTCGGCCAAAATTTATTTTGGGGGGCAGTTGTTTGCTTGTCTTATTGATTGTTTGGCATCTCCGTTTATGTATTTGTTTGTGTTTCTTTTTGAAACATCTCATCGGGCAAGAAAGGAATGGTGACTCGTGATTTTGTTTGGAGTCAATTTAGGACATGGGTTCTTACCGCTTGTGCTGCTGCTACCAATCCCCCCAGCATGCCACCCACCCACCCTAATGGGGACATGTTGAGACCACATTAATGCTGATTGTCCATTACAGTGGCCTGCAGACATTTTTAAAAAATTCCATCCTAGGCAAATTCAACCTCAGTCTCCAGAAGAGGAACCCCCAACATGGACATTTTGTGAAATCTGCCCGGGTGACACCGACGTGCAGCCAGGGTCTGAGTCGCCTCGTAGACAGGGAAAAGGCTGGGACTGGACCTCCGGAGCCTGGGCCTCATTGTAGCTCTGCCCATGGCACTCCCATCCCCCTGCTCTATCCCCTATTTCCAAAAAGATGATTATCACTACCCACCACGCAAAAAAAAATTAGAAAATGCCAGTTGATATCTGGGAAAGAAAGTACTTGAAATTTCAACATTAGACAAATATCCGATCGCTAATTTCAAGCCTCAGAAAACAAATAGCGTTTATCCAACCCATCACATACAAGTTCCCAGCAAACTCCCAAAGAGATTAGTAAACCAGAAAGAAGACAGAACTAACTTCTCACTCCCAAGGGAATACCTCCCAGCCCGCAGACGGGGTGTAGCAACACTTTCATAAACATTGCCATTTTAATAAAAAAGAGCATGTTCCCTGTCTTTAGCTGCTATGCGCAGGGCACCGACTGACTTTTTGTCTCCCAAATAGGGGAGCTGTTAGGCCGCAGTGCGCTGCGCTCTTGGTTCCTGGAAGGGCCCCGTTGATTGAGATTTACCGAAGTTAATGGCTGGGGAATCCATCGCTCTCTTTTGGGAATGCCCTGGCACCTGATCCCATTCTATGGCACTAACCAGGTTGCAGCCTCCTCGAAGTCCATTTGTCCTGCGTGGGCAGCCAGTTTTCTCCAACAACGTTTTGATGAGGCTTCTGGAGTGGTTCAGGGGCGGGTGGTCCCCAGCAGAGAGGACACGGAGGACTGCTGTCAGCTGGCCAGGACTCCAAGCGCCGCCGCTCTCCCAGGCGGAGGGTTTCTGTGTCTCAGCAGAGAGCACAAGGCCGAGGAGAAGGAGCAATGGCAGGCAGGGTCCCGAGAGCCTTGTCCAGAAGCACATTTCCACTCCTCCTTCGCCTGCAGTGTGTCTCTGATGGAGTAGACGGGTTGGTGTCCACGGGGTGCACTTGTACCGGAGGAATTTCTGTGGCGAAGGGGGAAAATAAGGCTTTAATTATTATGCCTGCAACGTGTTTGAAAGGGTTCATTAATTGGGTGGCTAAGCTGCTTTGCAATGACAAGCTGTTTCTGAACAACAGGGGGTCTGGTCTGTAGGTCATTGCTAACCCCAAACAGCAGGAAACTATCCTGGCTGTAGACTTTCAAACCATAGGAAAACCAAGAATGTGGCTGTATTGCCTCTCTGAACTAAACCTAGAGTCAAAAATTAAGAAGAATAGTTTCTCGGTTCATCCTGGTATAAGTCATAGGACCGCGGACAGAAAACACCCTCATTTTATCTCCTTGGTAAGGAGAACTCCCAGGGCTTTGTGGTCCCGATCACTGAAACATGTAAATAAAACTAAAGAGAATTAAATTTTTAAAAATTGCCAATGTCATGTAGAGTTAGAAGGTTTTATGTAAAGAAGGGTGCTGGAAGAAAAACAGTAACATTCAGAAAATACTGGTCTGCCTTTAGATTTTAGTTTACTTAAAAGTACAAACAATCTTACCAAAAAAAAAGAATTTCAAGACCTCGTGAGCCATGATAAATCCACATACTCCGTGGTCATTAAAGGGGTAAGAGGACAACTTGAGAGCCAATCAACTTCTGGAACAAAATTTAATCTCTTCAAACAATTGCTTAAGAAATGCAAAATGTTAACAGTATCTCATGTCTGATTTTGGCCCAGAGATGAGCTAATAATGACTGTGGGTAGGAACAAAAATATTGGGATTACTTTTATAGTTTAAAAAAAAAGGTGGAAGAGTTAAGATTCTTCGGTTAGCAATTTAAAAAATGACAGAGGATGATACAAACATTTCTAAACCTAGTGCTTACCTTCAGAGGGAAGACAAATGGCTATTTATCTGGAGCTCTGTGGCCTTTTAAATCTCAGAGAGCATTTTGTGGTTACAAAGTCCTCTGTTTTTAAAATTCCTTGACTGTGTGCTGGGAGCTGGAAGGGATTATTCCAGCCCCGTGAAGTTTCCAGTTGCCATGGAGAGAGCTGCTCTGAAGGTAACAATGAAGGTGGATAAAAGTGAGAACTTTTGTCTGGCAGGTTTTCAGGAAAATCAAATAAAATTGGTTCATGAACCCGACTTTTTCATATTAATATTTACCAATGTTCATAGAGTCACCGACAGTCACTTGCCTTTTAAGGGGCAGATCAAAGTCAAAAGATTTCACCTTGTAGAATGGAAAAGTTTTAGTGTCAGATTAAGGTTTTTTTTTCCTTTCCAGTTGGTGCTGTGATAACTGTTTCAACCACACTCCAACCAAGGATTTGTGGAAAAGATACCTGGTAGACTCTTTAGAATCTTATTTATTTTACAAGGTAGAGAGGTTTAACAGATTTAACATGGTTGTAAATTCATAAATAGATATTTTCAAGTGAGAAGGAAAGTATTTGTGGGAGGAATAAAGTTGCAACCTGGGAAATAAGTGGATGTGAATGGAGAACTTTAATTAGCTGTGTACGTTATGATCTCTGTATCTGCAGTAGAAGTGACTACATAGGATCCTTCAGACTCTAAAACAGGCTCTAGATAAATTACTAGTGAATAAATGACTACAAGAACAAAGCGGTCAATTTTACAGGACGTAAGAGAAGTTAAAATGCAAACTTTCAAAGTGGACTAAGTACACATAAATGGCACATAGTACACAGAAACACAAAGTGACTCTGAAGAATGATGGATAGAGATTTATGAGTTCAATTCCATAGGTGGTAGATGGGAAGGAGTGGGGCTATGGTGAAGAGACAGAGGAAATGAGAAGAGAAAGAAGTTAGGATAGTCTCCTCAATCACTAATTGGATATGAAAACTTGGAACAATAGGGTGAGATAATCCTAAAAGAATGCTAGTAACATTGATAGAAATATGGCTGGAACAAAAGCTCCCAGAAAATGCCTGGTTTCTTGTTAATTCCAAATATGGAGGACTTGGATTCATCTAAACTGTCAAGGGAAGGGGCTTGGCCTGTGGTGGTGAAACCTAATGCAGTTCCAACTGCCTGTTGCAAAGAAAGCCAAATTCATGACACAGTGCTGCTGAGAAGGAAAAGGGCTTATTCAAGTGCTGGTCACCTGAGAAGATGGGGGACTCTCATCCCAAAGCCCATCTTAACATCTCAGTGCAGTCAGGGTTTTTTTTTTTTAATCAGGAAGGAAACGGAAAGCAGAACAAAGATATCAGGGGGAGGGGGCTGTGGACATGCAGGCAGTGTTCTTGCTGGTCCTGATATAGATCTTTAATATCAGCCAAAGTCTTGTATTCAAGCTGCCCCAGGCCCGTGCAGGATCCAGAAACAGCTGGTTTCTTCAATACACACACACACAAAAAAGGTTCTTGGTGATTTATGGCAGGCATGGCTAACCTGGCCTTCTTTGAAGACTTATATCCTCTTTTCTGACACAGGGAAAAGTATTGTTCATTATATGTTATTTAATAGAGAAGGTTACTTTTCAGGTTAGCGTAAGATTTCGTGTAAGATGTGCTGGATGCACAGGCTGCGCAGGATGTCTTCCCATAGGCCTTAATATGGATCTTTATGGTCACCCTTCTTGAGTTGGTCATCTGGGCTTTCTAACAGCTGAATTCCTGTTGATTGAGTGGTTGGCATCATCCAGGTGGGCCTTGAGGCCAGGGCTCTTCCTAGGTTCACACAGGAATGGAGACTATAATGTATATTAAAAACTTTTAACATATGAGCTCTATTTTGAGAGAAAATTCAGGTTATAGTAATAAGCTGGGTTTAACATTTACTACGATTAACATGGGTAGCTTTATAAAAATTTTATAAGTTTACTTTGTTTGTATATTCTTATTTTAGTTCTACTCCATGGCTAGTCAGACTAATATAAGTAGTATATCACATTCATTCCTGTCACAGAGAGATTAAGTAGAGTTAAGAGTCCAGAGTGGTCAGTTTAACAGAGGAGCAAGGAGTTGGCCAAGACCTCCCAGCTGTAGATCCAGTGGAGACAGAGAAGCAAGGAGGGAACAGGCTCAGGACCTTGTTTCTGGAATTGGGCCCTTGCTTTCTGACCCAGCTTCAATGAACAGGTTCTGAAATTGACCATCCCTGCCCAAGTCCCAGTGTAGCACCTGCCTGGTTGCCACAGAACTAGCACTCACAGGACAGTGCCCCTGCTGTGACTTGGGGACCTTTTTCCTGGTTGTCCTGTGCTGATGTCCACCTGGAAGCCCCATATTTCCTGGTGTCAGATTTCCTATGGTTACTGATTCCCTTGTAACAGAGCCCGGCGAGTTATCTCCCCCAGGGATTCTTGAACACCATTCACTAGTCTCAAGGGCTCCCAATACCTCTACCCTTCTAGCCACAAACCCCAAGACGCCCAAAGTGAACTTCTTCTTATTGTCACCAGCCAGTGCCCGCTCTGTTTGCCCCAAGATTTGTTCCACCCTCACAGTCAAACCTACAATTCAACCACCAGCCAGGTTCCTTTTCCTGTTCCAGGGTAAGACAGGAATGGAGGGGCAGGGAGAAGCCCTGGATGTAGGCTATAAGACCGGCAAAGCCAAGAAGGGCTGGCAGGCAGATGATAAAAAAAAGGAGTAAGAAGGAGATAAAATACTTAGCAGAATATGGCAGCATCATCTCCTTTGCTTGACTTTGAGCTGTAGCTCTAACTCCAAGTGCCCACCCTGCCGCTTCCCCGGCAAGCCTGAAATCAGCCTTTCTTCAACATGGCTGCATTTGCAATCCAAGTACCTTCTGGGAGTAATGAGTTTCACATGTTAACGCACCAGCTGTATAAAGAAGGAGCTAATTTACTCCTGACTGATACTCACATGCCCGTTAACCCCCAGGTGGGGGCAGTCTCATGGGAGGCAGTTTCTCCTGATATACCAACTCTTACTTGTGCTATCACAGGAAGATAGAGTGGCCGGGAGGCAGGAGGGAAGAGGGGAGGGGGCCACTGACCAATCTGTCCTTCATTCAGTTTTGGCTCTTTGCCTGAGTTTCAAACGTCTTCCTCATGCCCACATAGGAGTGTAGTTACATACCCACCCTGCCTTGACCTAGAAAGAATTTAAAGGGTCCCACCAGGAAACATGAAATACAAGACGGCTGCAACTTAGGAAGAGATTGAAGCAAGGGTAGAGCCGTCTTGCGTGTACAGTGTATAGTGCAGGGCTGCCTGCCCGTACCGTTTGGCAGGTTTGGGCGCTGTACAACTCCAGAGATCATCATTCATGTCTATAGTCATTACAGATTTATGTATTGACTTTCATGACAATGTATTAAATTATATTATTTATTTATTTTCCAGTAAATGTCCTGAGGAAAGGAGGCTTTGAGCTGGCGGCAGGACTGTGTGTGCTCTGAATCCCTCCCACCCCTATGGGATCCTCTCTGGCAGTAATATGAGGTCCTACAACTCTGAGCTACCTCTGGGTCTTGCTTCTCTTTGCATGTCCCTTCACACTGACTTCTTCCCTCTTTCCAAGACACAGACCTCTCTAAATAATTCGTACAAAATGTTTATGAACATTGTGTAGTGTTTTTTATACCTAGGCACTGTACTAAGCAATTTCACATATATTTTCTCCTGTAATATCAGTTGAATCTAATTAATGAACTTCTCACTGTACATTTCAGAAATACCCAGGTTCACACAGTCTATAGGTGCTACCAGAAATCTGGGCCTGTGAACATCAAAGTTGGTGCTTATACAGTAAAACCTTGATATAACAGGTGTTCGTTATAGCAGGTAGTCCATTAAATAATAAAGTAGGTTTTACAAATGCATATATTAAAAGATTGACAAATTAGTTTACCTATTTTTTTACTTATGTAGACACCTTTGTGTGATTAAAATTAAGTATGAATGAAAAGTTTATTTTCACAGAAAAGTTTTCTATATGTATTACAGTAATTGTAATTTTTTAATACATTTTATTGATTTTTTACAGAGAGGAAGGGAGAGGGATAGAGTTAGAAACATCGATGAGAGAGAAACATCGATCAGCTGCCTCCTGCACACCTCCTACTGGGGATG